TAACTTAGATATTTGTAATAACAGCACCATGCAAATCTGGGCTTTCTTGAAGTCATTTATTTAATCTCACAGCCGCAATAGAAAATGATTAATTTTCCAAGATACACAAACGATTCGAATAGGATGTCCTTAAATTTATGAATAAATCGGTTAAGCTTTGATTAGGTGTGGCTTGGGTTTACCCATCTTTACCTGGATCTCATTTAACACAACTCTAGCATAGAAGAGTTACAGACACAACCAGATCTGCACCAGCCAACCCTGTCCCCACCCTTCCCCACCCATCCTAGGCAACCTCCCAGGGCCCCAAAATTCAAGTCAATCAGATGCATCGAAACTGTATCTTGCAGTCCTGCACATATGTCGGCATACGAGGAGAAAACTAGGAGAAAACCAGGAGAAAACGAGGAGAAAACCAGAAGAAAAGCAGTAGAAAACCAGGAGAAAACTAGGAGAAAACTAGGAGAAAACTAGGAGAAAACCAGGAGAAAACTAGGAGAAAACTAGGAGAAAACTAGGAGAAAACTAGGAGAAAACCAGGAGAAAACTAGGAGAAAACTAGGAGAAAACTAGGAGAAAACTAGGAGAAAACCAGGAGAAAACTAGGAGAAAACCAGGAGAAAACTAGGAGAAAACTAGGAGAAAACTAGGAGAAAACCAGGAGAAAACTAGGAGAAAACTAGGAGTAAACCAGGAGAAAACTAAGAGAAAACCAGGAGAAAACCAGGAGAAAACCAGAAGAAAACCAGTAGAAAACTAGGAGAAAACTAAGAGAAAACCAGGAGAAAACTAGGAGAAAACTAGGAGAAAACTAGGAGAAAACTAGGAGAAAACCAGGAGAAAACTAAGAGAAAACCAGGAGAAAACCAGGAGAAAACCAGAAGAAAACCAGTAGAAAACTAGGAGAAAACTAAGAGAAAACCAGGAGAAAACCAGGAGAAAACCAGAAGAAAACCAGTAGAAAACTAGGAGAAAACTAGGAGAAAACCAGGAGAAAACTAGGAGAAAACCAGGAGAAAACTAGGAGAAAACCAGGAGAAAACTAGGAGAAAACCAGGAGAAAACTAGGAGAAAACCAGGAGAAAACTAGGAGAAAACCAGGAGAAAACCAGAAGAAAACCAGTAGAAAACTAGGAGAAAACTAAGAGAAAACCAGGAGAAAACCGGGAGAAAACCAGAAGAAAACCAGTAGAAAACTAGGAGAAAACTAGGAGAAAACCAGGAGAAAACTAGGAGAAAACCAGGAGAAAACTAGGAGAAAACCAGGAGAAAACTAGGAGAAAACCAGGAGAAAACTAGGAGAAAACCAGGAGAAAACTAGGAGAAAACCAGGAGAAAACCAGAAGAAAACCAGTAGAAAACCAATAGAAAACTAGAAGAAAACCAGTAGAAAACTAGGAGAAAACTAGGAGAAAACTAGGAGAAAACTAGGAGAAAACCAGGAGAAAACCAGGAGAAAACCAGAAAAAAACCAGTAGAAAACTAGGAGAAAACTAGGAGAAAACCAGGAGAAAACTAGGAGAAAACCAGGAGAAAACTAGGAGAAAACCAGGAGAAAACTAGGAGAAAACCAGGAGAAAACTAGGAGAAAACCAGGAGAAAACCAGAAGAAAACCAGTAGAAAACCAATAGAAAACTAGAAGAAAACCAGTAGAAAACCAATAACTTGTGACAGCTGAAACAAATTTTGGTAAACATTGCAGGGCCAGGAGGACGAAATAATTTATCATGGGGGCTCTCTTAGATACGATGTGTTGCTGAACCCCAGTAATGTCCCTTGGCTTAGACACGATGTGTTGCTGAACCCAGTAATGTCCCTTGGCTTAGACACGTTGTGTTACTGAACCCAGTAATGTCCCTTGGCTTAGACACGTTGTGTTACTGAACCCAGTAATGTCCCTTGGCTTAGACACGATGTGTTGCTGAACCCCAGTAATGTCCCTTGGCTTAGACACGATGTGTTGCTGAACCCCAGTAATGTCCCTTGGCTTAGACACGTTGTGTTGCTGAACCCCAGTAATGTCCCTTGGCTTAGACACGTTGTGTTGCTGAACCCCAGTAATGTCCCTTGGCTTAGACACATGTTGTGTTGCTGAACCCCAGTAATGTCCCTTGGCTTAGACACGTTGTATTACTGCTACACAAGTTATGTCCCTTGGCTTAGGCACGTTGTATGACTGCTACACAAGTAATGTCCCTTGGCTTAGACACGTGGTGTTACTGAACCCCAGTAATGTCCTTTGGCCTAGACACGTTGTATTACTGCTACTTAAGTAATGTCCCTTGTCTTATATTTTTTCAACAGCCCAAACAATTTGGTTTCTTTCACGACGCCAAGTAGTTACGCAAGTTTTGACAGAAAGATAACTTTAAAAATCATGTTATTGAAAAGTTTTTAATGTAACCATACTTCCCCATGCATCTCCCCACACCTCCCCATACCCCCACACCAACCCATATCTCCCCACACCTCCCCATATCACCCATACACCTTTCCATATCTCCCCACACCTCCCCATATCTCCCCACACCTCTCCATATCTACCCACACCTCCCCATATCTACCCACACCTCCCCATATCAACCATACACCTCCCCATATCTCCCCACACCTCCCCATATCTACCCACACCTCCCCATATCTACCCACACCTCCCCACACTTCCCCATCCATCTACCCACACACCTCCCCACATCTTGTGCCGACTCTTGTTAACCGTGAGGCCATCAAAGTTAACTTAGTTCGTGTTTTTCTAGTCAGTGATTGGTTGACTGACAGCCAAGATATCACATCTATTGATTTATTCTCCAGCCGATTCCAAATATTCTAGAATTTTATTTCCATCACAATGTTTTGATAGCCCTAATTTTAATCTTATTCTGATATTTAGAAACCCCTAATTTTATTTCCATCCCAATGTTTTGATAGCCCTAATTTTAATCTTATTCTGATATTTAGAAACCCCTAATTTTATTTCTATCCCAATGTTTTGATATAAACATATTCTGGTGCCTATTCCTCAAACATGTCATGGAAAAACAAAATGGCGGCCCCGATAAAATCTCAGTGACGATCTAGTGCTATGCCGAGCTGGCCAATTTGATTCCACTTTCTGTCTTCTCCGTGCTTGGATCATTTCTGGAACAATTTTCCTTCGTTATTCATCCCCACGAGCTTGTGTTAACAGTGCGCATGTCTGTAAAGCACGTGCCAGTAGTGAGTCATCAAACTTGGCTCTTCCGGTGTCTAATCAGATTAGTTCTTCATTAGTCTCTCTGGCTTCTCATCTTTTATTTATATACACATTTTCTCTCAGAATTTCATCTCACTTTTTCGCTTTCCTCTCTCTCTCTGTCTCTTTCTCTCTCTCTCTCTCTCTCTCTCTCTCTCTCTCTCTCTCTCTCTCTCTCTCTCTCAGTCTCTCTCACTCATAGACTTTTCTCTCATTGACTTTTCTCTCACTCATTCACTTTTCTCTCATTGACTTTTCTCTCACTCATTCACTTTTCTCTCACTCATTCACTTTTCGCTCTTTCACTTTTCTCTCATTCACTTGTCTCTCACTCATTCACTTTTCTCTCATTCACTTTTCTCTCATTCACTTCTCTCTCACTCATTTACTTTTCTTTCATTCACTTTTCTCTCACTCATTCACTTTTCTCTCATTCACTTTTCTCTCATTCACTTCTCTCTCACTCATTCACTTTTCTCTCATTCACTTTTCTCTCATTCACTTCTCTCTCACTCATTCACTTTTCTCTCATTCACTTTTCTCTCATTCATTCAACTTTTCTCTCGTTTACCTTCTCTCATTCATTTCTCTCTCACTCATTCACTTTTCTCTCATTCATTCACTTTTCTCTCGTTTCCTTTTTTGTCATTCACTTCTCTCTCACTCTTTCACTTTTCTCTCACTCATTGATTTTTTCTCATTCACTTTTCTCTTATTCACTTTTCTCTCATTTACTTTTCTCTTATTCACTTTTCTCTCATTCACTTTTCTCTCATTCACTTTTCTCTCACTCATTCACTTTTCTCTCATTCACTTTTCTCTCATTCACTTTTCTCTCACTCATTCACTTTTTTCTCTTTCACTTTTCTCTCATTCATTCACTTTTCTCTCATTCACTTTTCTCTCACTCATTCACTTTTCTCTCATTCATTCACTTTTCTCTCATTCACTTTTCTCTCACTCATTCACTTTTCTCTCATTCACTTTTCTCTCATTCACTTTTCTCTCACTCATTCACTTTTTTCTCTTTCACTTTTCTCTCACTCATTCACTTTTCTCTCATTCACTTTTCTCTCATTCACTTTTCTCTCACTCATTCACTTTTTTCTCTTTCACTTTTCTCTCATTCATTCACTTTTCTCTCGTTTCCTTTTTTGTCATTCACTTCTCTCTCACTCTTTCACTTTTCTCTCACTCATTGATTTTTTCTCATTCACTTTTCTCTTATTCACTTTTCTCTCATTTACTTTTCTCTTATTCACTTTTCTCTCATTCACTTTTCTCTCATTCACTTTTCTCTCACTCATTCACTTTTCTCTCATTCACTTTTCTCTCATTCACTTTTCTCTCACTCATTCACTTTTTTCTCTTTCACTTTTCTCTCACTCATTCACTTTTCTCTCATTCACTTTTCTCTCATTCACTTTTCTCTCACTCATTCACTTTTTTCTCTTTCACTTTTCTCTCACTCATTCACTTTTTTCTCTTTCACTTTTTTTCTCACTCATTCGCTTTTCTCTCTCTTTCCTTTTACATTATTTTATAATTCCCTTTAATTCCACAAAGTTTTTATTCCCTGAAGAATATTGCTGTAGCTATATTTTAACTATTATTAACTGAAGCCTATAAACAGAGTAAAACGCATCAGTCGACATACGCAATGTGTTGGTTACACTACAGACAAAGCTAAACGCACGAAAAACGATGGAGCCACGAAACGAAACTTGATTCAATCCCGGCATGAACGCGTCACGGCCGACTCTGAAAATGGATGCAGGCTAGCAAACAAAACATAGCGGGGAGAACTCCGTGTTTTTATAAGACCAGCCAAGATTTCCGACTTATGTAAACATACACTGCCGGCATGGCAGTCCAGAGGAGGGCAACAAAATGTTTTCATTTGTCGGTCTGAAACAGTTCCAGCAGTTGCTTGTTTCCGTTATGTTTTCCATCTGTGTACTACACATTTAAACTTCAACCACTCAATATATTGTTACACAATTCACTCAGCACACACGACGCGTGTCGATGTAGTAGCAGATAGTACAGATACATGACTTGATCCAAGGTGACTTAGACAGATATTTATTCTGGTGCACGAGAACCGACAGAGGTACAGACGGTATCAGATGATCGTAAAGATAATGGCGTCAAGTAGACCACGTCTCGCCACCACAATTACACCAGCAGATAGCTCTAATAACACAGTTGCTGTAGCAGATAGCACGCTTTATACAACACAACAATATGTTTGCTGACAAGATCATTCAGGCCTTGCTCTGCGTTCTACACGCTTTTTGTTCTATCTCTACTTGATATTCATGTACAGTAAGTAGTGCTCGCAAATGTTATATATATATATATATATATATATATATATATATATATATATATATATATATATATATATATATATGTATATATATATATATATATATATATATATATATAGGCCTATATATATACATTTATTTTTAACTATATGTATATAAGACATAAATGTGTGTGATAGAGAGAGGTAGTTTGTAATGATAATCAGACGGTCTAGTGACCTAATTAGGCTGATTATAATGAGAGTTGAAGGTTGGTAAAAATCTCTGTAGTCTGAGGTTATCGGCGGTTGATGTTGATTGTCCCCTGGTGTGATGGTCACACAGTTAAGCCTTGTATTGATTGACGTGTACACCAGCCGTCTTTGTCTGCAACTTCTGACAGATATAGCCTGTAATTTGTTGCGCTATTGCTACCCTATTTGACGTGACGCTCGTTTTTTACTACCTGTTTATATATATATATATATATATATATATATATATATATATATATATATATATATATATATATATAATTTATATATATATATAATTTATATTTTATTATCAAATTATTATTCGCCTTATTATACATTGTAATTATCAAATCAATGGTTACCGTAGAGGGATGTTATTTATAAAATGAAACTTTAATTTTCTATCAATTAATTCTATTCCATTTTTGATGCTTTTAGTAGCGAGGATGGAGCGAGCTAATTACGGCTCCATCAAATGTAATGTTTTCTTTGAACGGTGCATCAAAGTTGTTCCATTACAGCACCAAGCCTGTGTCCATGATGAGGAACTGGGTCGGCGCTGTGGCGGCCCTACTTGTGGGGCTGATGTTGGCGCGGTCTTTCTTTGATGACAGCCAATTAGGTGAGTCGAAACTAGTCGATACCACGTCTATGGTCAGAACTTTCATTTACAAGTATTCGCCCGCTAGCTAGATACAGGGGATTGAAAATGTAATCCGGCACTCATCTACAAAATGTGAATCTCGCTAGAACGTGACGTGCTGTACGGTATTCAGACTTGTGTGCGTGGGGGGGGGGGTGTATTTCTCTTAAATATCAGAGAGAAACAATACATACAGACACATGTATTCAATAAGACGGCACTGTTAGCTGTAAAACAAAGCTGTCATAGACAGACAAATGTGTGGGACTGTAAGACGTACTGTACCAGTGATACAATATGCCACTAGTAGCTGGTAAAACAACACGTCACACTCACAAGATAACGCACAGTACATCACCAGTAGCTGGTACAATACAACATGTCAGCAGTAGCTGGTACAACACGTCACTAGTAGCTAGTACATCAACACAACACCAGTAGCTGGTACAACAACACTACACCAGTAGCTGGTACAACAACTCTACACCAGTAGCTGGTACAACAACACTACACCTGTAGCTGGTACAACAACACTACACCTGTAGCTGGTACAACAACACTACACCTGCAGCTGGTACAACAACACTACACCTGTAGCTGGTACAACAACACTACATCTGTAGCTGGTACAACAACACTACACCAGTAGCTGGTACAACAACACTACACCAGTAGCTGGTACAACAACACTACACCAGTAGCTGGAACATCAACACTACACCAGTAGCTGGTACAACAACACTACACCAGTAGCTGGTACAACAACACTACACCAGTAGCTGGGACAACAACACATCACAAGTAGCTGGTACAACAACACTACAACAGTAGCTGGTACAACAACACTACACCAGTAGCTGGTACAACAACACTACAACAGTAGCTGGTACAACAACACTACACCAGTTGCTGGTACAACAACACTACACCTGTAGCTGGTACAACAACACTACACCTGTAGCTGGTACAACAACACTACATCTGTAGCTGGTACAACAACACTACACCTGTAGCTGGTACAACAACACTACACCAGTAGCTGGTACAACAACACTACACCAGTAGCTAGTACAACAACACTACGCAAGTAGCTGGTACAACGACACATAACGAGTAGCTGGTACAACAACACTACACCAGTAGCTGGTACAACAACACTACACCTGTAGCTGGTACAACAACACTACACCAGTAGCTGGTACATCAACACAACACCAGTAGCTGGTACAACAACACTACACCAGTAGCTGGTACAACAACTCTACACCAGTAGCTGGTACAACAACACTACACCTGTAGCTGGTACAACAACACTACACCTGTAGCTGGTACAACAACACTACACCTGCAGCTGGTACAACAACACTACACCTGTAGCTGGTACAACAACACTACATCTGTAGCTGGTACAACAACACTACACCAGTAGCTGGTACAACAACACTACACCAGTAGCTGGTACAACAACACTACACCAGTAGCTGGAACATCAACACTACACCAGTAGCTGGTACAACAACACTACACCAGTAGCTGGTACAACAACACTACACCAGTAGCTGGGACAACAACACATCACAAGTAGCTGGTACAACAACACTACAACAGTAGCTGGTACAACAACACTACACCAGTAGCTGGTACAACAACACTACAACAGTAGCTGGTACAACAACACTACACCAGTTGCTGGTACAACAACACTACACCTGTAGCTGGTACAACAACACTACACCTGTAGCTGGTACAACAACACTACATCTGTAGCTGGTACAACAACACTACACCTGTAGCTGGTACAACAACACTACACCAGTAGCTGGTACAACAACACTACACCAGTAGCTAGTACAACAACACTACGCAAGTAGCTGGTACAACGACACATAACGAGTAGCTGGTACAACAACACTACACCAGTAGCTGGTACAACAACACTACACCTGTAGCTGGTACAACAACACTACACCAGTAGCTGGTACAACAACACTACACCTGTAGCTGGTACAACAACACTACACCAGTAGCTGGTACAACAACACTACACCAGTAGCTGGTACAACAACACTACGCAAGTAGCTGGTACAACGACACATAACGAGTAGCTGGTACAACAACACTACACCAGTAGCTGGTACATGCGCGGCTGTACTTAACCCAGCTACGTGACTGCCCGGCTTGAGACCAGACGACAAGAGGTTTTGTTTCCGGCCCTCTTGTGCTGGAGTGTATTAGAACAACCGTTACACTTGAGCGTCGACCTTGACCTCCTTGTTGTTAAGTTGATTTTTTTGTCAGTGTTGAAATAAAATAGATGTAGCTTATCATTTCACACAAGTTCATACAATTTTAATCTACGTCATGATGTTTTAGACCCATGAGAGAAGTGACAAAAATAGGGGATTAAAGTTGATGCGTGATGAGATTATGTGTGGTATCTACATATTACTTAGATGGTGTCAATTAGATGGTTTTCATTACTTAGATGGTGTCCATTAGATGGTTTTCATTACTTAGATGGTGTCCATTAGATGGTTTTCATTACTTAGATGGTGTCTATTATTTAGATAGTATCCATTAGATGGTGTCAATTAGATGGTGTCCATAACGTAGAAGGTGTCTATTACATAGGTCGATTGTAAATGACGTCACACGTTTAATTTTTTTTTTAGACAGAGTGATCTACATCAGGGGAGAGGGTCTAATATTGAATGCACGTGACACATGTAGCATTGTGTTGGGGGGGGGTACATAAAACTGTGTCTTCGGTTGAGTGGGACTCTGGCCTTTAATGACGAGGTGTGACGGCGGGCGAGTCACGTGGGCTGAAGTTGTGTGATCTCACCTGTCTGCAACACCTTACTCAAATTTAATTTGTCTCATTAAATTAGCTAGGTAATCAATTACATTAGAATATGTATGATACGTTTTGTGTAACCCGCTTGATGCTAATGTTAATCATTTCTGCTGGTTAAGCTCCGTTAACCCGCTGGTTTAGCTCCGTTAACCAGCTGGTTTAGCTCCGTGAACCCAGTGGTTTAGCTCCGTTAACCCGCTGGTTTAGCTCCGTTAACCCGCTGGTTTAGCTCCGTTAACCCGCTGGTTAAGCTCCGTTAACCCGCTGGTTAAGCTCCGTTACCCACTGGTTTAGCTCCGTTACCCACTGGTTTAGCTCCGTTAACCCGCTGGTTAAGCTCCGTTAACCCGCTGGTTAAGCTCCGTTACCCACTGGTTTAGCTCCGTTACCCACTTGTCGCACATCCCCAGAGACACTGAAGGGCAAGCGCGTGCTGGTGACGGGAGCGAGTACTGGTATAGGGGAACAGCTGGCATACCAGTACGCCAGGCTGGGGGCAAAGGTCGCAGTCACAGCCAGGAGGAAAGATGTTCTGCTCAAGGTACGTCTAAACTTGCGTCAGGTAACTGAGAGGTAGTGGACAAGTCAGCTGCTAGCCTCGCTGGTTGTACTCACGTGTGTCAGCCATGTGTACTCACGTGTGTCAGCCAGGTGTACTCATGTGTGTCAGCCAGGTGTACTCACGTGTGTCAGACATGCCAGGTGTACTCACGTGTGTCAGACAGATGTACTCACGTGTGTCAGACATGCCAGATGTACTCACGTGTGTCAGACAGGTGTACTCACGTGTGTCAGACAGGTGTGCTCACGTGTGTCAGACAGGTGTACTCACGTGTGTCAGACAGGTGTGCTCACGTGTGTCAGACAGGTGTACTCACGTGTGTCAGACAGGTGTACTCACGTGTGTCAGACATGCCAGGTGTACTCACGTGTGTCAGACAGCTGTACTCACGTGTGTCAGACAGGTGTACTCACGTGTGTCAGACAGGTGTACTCACGTGTGTCAGACATGCCGGATGTACTCACGTGTGTCAGACAGGTGTACTCACGTGTGTCAGACAGGTGTACTCACGTGTGTCAGACAGGTGTACTCACGTGTGTCAGACAGGTCTACTCACGTGTGTCAAACATGCCAGATGTACTCACGTGTGTCAGACAGGTGTACTCACGTGTGTCAGACAGGTGTACTCACGTGTGTCAGACAGGTGTACTCACGTGTGTCAGACATGCCAGATGTACTCACGTGTGTCAGACAGGTGTACTCACGTGTGTCAGACAGGTGTACTCACGTGTGTCAGACAGGTGTACTAACGTGTGTCAGACATGCCAGGTGTACTCACGTGTGTCAGACAGGTGTACTCACGTGTGTCAGACAGGTGTACTCACGTGTGTCAGACAGGTGTACTCACGTGTGTCAGACAGGTGTACTCACGTGTGTCAGACAGGTGTACTCACGTGTGTCAGACAGGTGTACTCACGTGTGTCAGACATGCCAGATGTACTCACGTGTGTCAGACAGGTGTACTCACGTGTGTCAGACAGGTGTACTCACGTGTGTCAGACAGGTGTACTCACGTGTGTCAGACATGCCAGGTGTACTAACGTGTGTCAGACAGGTGTACTCACGTGTGTCAGACAGGTGTACTAACGTGTGTCAGACAGGTGTACTCACGTGTGTCAGACAGGTGTACTCACGTGTGTCAGACATGCCAGATGTACTCACGTGTGTCAGACAGGTGTACTCACGTGTGTCAGACAGGTGTACTCACGTGTGTCAGACATGCCAGATGTACTCACGTGTGTCAGACAGGTGTACTCACGTGTGTCAGACAGGTGTACTCACGTGTGTCAGACATGCCAGATGTACTCACGTGTGTCAGACAGGTGTACTCACGTGTGTCAGACAGGTGTACTCACGTGTGTCAGACAGGTGTACTCACGTGTGTCAGACATGCCAGGTGTACTAACGTGTGTCAGACAGGTGTACTCACGTGTGTCAGACAGGTGTACTAACGTGTGTCAGACAGGTGTACTCACGTGTGTCAGACAGGTGTACTCACGTGTGTCAGACATGCCAGATGTACTCACGTGTGTCAGACAGGTGTACTAACGTGTGTCAGACAGGTGTACTCACGTGTGTCAGACATGTGTACTCACGTGTGTCAGACAGGTGTACTCGCGTGTGTCAGACAGGTGTACTCACGTGTGTCAGACAGGTGTACTAACGTGTGTCAGACAGGTGTACTAACGTGTGTCAGACAGGTGTACTCACGTGTGTCAGACAGGTGTACTCGCGTGTGTCAGACAGGTGTACTCACGTGTGTCAGACATGCCAGATGTACTCACGTGTGTCAGACAGATGTACTCACGTGTGTCAGACAGGTGTACTCACGTGTGTCAGACAGATGTACTCACGTGTGTCAGACAGGTGTACTCACGTGTGTCAGACAGGTGTACTCACGTGTGTCAGACATGCCAGATGTACTCACGTGTGTCAGACAGATGTACTCACGTGTGTCAGACAGGTGTACTCACGTGTGTCAGACAGATGTACTCACGTGTGTCAGACAGGTGTACTCACGTGTGTCAGACATGCCAGATGTACTCACGTGTGTCAGACAGGTGTACTCACGTGTGTCAGACAGGTGTACTCACGTGTGTCAGACATGCCAGGTGTACTCACGTGTGTCAGACATGCCAGGTGTACTAACGTGTGTCAGACAGGTGTACTCACGTGTGTCAGACAGGTGTACTAACGTGTGTCAGACAGGTGTACTCACGTGTGTCAGACAGGTGTACTCACGTGTGTCAGACATGCCAGATGTACTCACGTGTGTCAGACAGGTGTACTAACGTGTGTCAGACAGGTGTACTCACGTGTGTCAGACATGTGTACTCACGTGTGTCAGACAGGTGTACTCGCGTGTGTCAGACAGGTGTACTCACGTGTGTCAGACAGGTGTACTAACGTGTGTCAGACAGGTGTACTAACGTGTGTCAGACAGGTGTACTCACGTGTGTCAGACAGGTGTACTCGCGTGTGTCAGACAGGTGTACTCACGTGTGTCAGACATGCCAGATGTACTCACGTGTGTCAGACAGGTGTACTCACGTGTGTCAGACAGATGTACTCACGTGTGTCAGACAGGTGTACTCACGTGTGTCAGACAGGTGTACTCACGTGTGTCAGACATGCCAGATGTACTCACGTGTGTCAGACAGATGTACTCACGTGTGTCAGACAGGTGTACTCACGTGTGTCAGACAGATGTACTCACGTGTGTCAGACAGGTGTACTCACGTGTGTCAGACATGCCAGATGTACTCACGTGTGTCAGACAGGTGTACTCACGTGTGTCAGACAGGTGTACTCACGTGTGTCAGACAGGTGTACTAACGTATGCCAGCCACGCCAGATGTACTCACGTGTGTACGGGATGTCATCCTTAGAGCACGTGATGTCCGTTATGTTGTGATGCGCCAGGCATGTCACAACTGAAACCATGTCTACCATATGCCTATTGTAATTAAATCTGGCTAGCATAAGTTCGAGATCGTTAGTCATGCAACCATTACTACTTCAGGTGACAGAGAGATGTAAGCAGCTTAGTCCAAATAATCTGACACATCACGCCATACCTGCAGACATGGGCCAGCTCAACTCTACTGCTGCTGTCATACAGGTATGTGGGGGTCACAGGTTGTCCTTATAGGTCACAGGCTTGGTTTAAAGGTATTTAGTCATTAGCCATATATCTGCTGTGGTCCCACGTCTCTAACCTAGCATGGCTTCTCTCTACCACAGGAAGCGATCGCCTCCCTTGGCGGTCTGGATATCCTAGTCTTGAATCACATCACCAGCCAGCCAATCGTTCAGTTTCTGGGGACCAATGAAAACATTTCTTCCTTTGATAAAACTATCGATATCAACTTCCGGTGAGTAGCAATCCATTTTAAACGTTAAAAATTGCACATTCATAGAAAAGTATACTTTGGAAGTAGAAGTAAAGTGTACTCTTTAAAAAGACTTAGCAATAGTTTTACCTACACATAACTGGAACTCTAATCTCTTGACCCAGACCTTTGACCTCTAGTAACACACATGACCCTACCCAGACCTTTGACCTCTGTACCACACATGACCCTACCCAGACCTTTGACCTCTGTACCACACATGACCCTAGCAAGCCATTGACCTGCTGTTTATCTGCTCTGTACCAGGTCGTATGTACACCTGACCTCTCACGCCCTGCCACAGCTGATAGCAAACAAAGGAAGTTTAGTGGTCGTCAACAGCATGCTGGGTAAGTCAGGACATTCTGATGTATTTAGTGTGTTGGAACGACTCCACCCCAACCACTCTACATACTCAAATACCACAGTTCTCAACATTACAGAAAGTCAACAAGGAAATAACTCAAACTTAAACTTCTCAAAAAATCATAAGAATTTGATGATTTTCTAATCACTTTTGTGGAAGCATTTCCTTTTTCTACACGATTCTATTTTATTTAAAGTGAGTTTAAGGGGGTGAAAAATTTATTAACGGTTAGGCCTGTTTCGCCGTATCTCCGATTTCTAAAAAAACCTTTAGAATTAGGTAATAAAATTGCATATAATATTCTCATACAATATATTATAAGAAATGTTCACCACAATGTGTATTCTAAAAAACCGAGTGGTTCAATATTTCTAAACCCCGATATCACTCTAAGTTCCATTCCAACACTAATTGTAAAGTACGAATATACGAGAAATTTAGGGGGAGATCACTCCCATTTTATTTCTGTAACTTTTCTCTAATTCTATCTTGAATGTCCGTCCCATTTTAGTATCTATTTCATCAAATTGTTCTGGCACAAAGTCTCTCTCACAGCTCGCACCTGTTGTGTCAGTAATCTTTGATATAGCAGAACTATGTGTATGTGCCTATCTCGACACTAGCCGTGTATTTCTGTACTTCCCCAGGTAAAGTCCCCCACCCCTATCTCGCCTCTTACTCGGCGTCTAAGCACGCGCTCCACGGATTCTTCGAGTCTCTGAGAAGTCAATTTATCTTCCTAGAGCAAGACGTCTCGGTGACACTGTGTACACTAGGTCTTATAGGTGAGTGGTGGTAGAATTGTGTACACTAAGTCTTATGGGTGAGTAGTGGTAGAACTGTGTACACGAGGTCTTATAGGTGAGTGGTGGTAGAACTATGTACACTAGGTCTTATAGGTGAGTGGTGGTAGAATTGTGTACACTAGGTCTTATAGGTGAGTGGTGGTAGAACTATGTACACTAGGGCTTATAGGTGAGTGGTGGTAGAACTGTGTACACTAGGTCTTATAGGTGAGTGGTGGTAGAACTGTGTACACTAGGTCTTATAGGTGAGTAGTGGTAGAACTGTGTACACTAGGTCTTATAGATGAGTGGTGGTAGAACTGTATACACTCTTATATGTGAGTAGTGGTAGAATTGTGTACACTAGGTCTTATAGGTGAGTGGTGGTAGGTGATCCGCAAATAACCCATGTTTGTAAGCCTCTAATATCCCATGTTTGTGAGCCTCAAATATCCCATGTTTGTAAGCCTCTAATACCCCATGTTTGTAAGCCTCTAATACCCCATGTTTGTAAGCCTCTAATATCCCATGTTTGTGAGCCTCAAATATTCCATGTTTGTAAGCCTCAAATATCCCATGTTTGTAAGCCTCTAATATCCCATGTTTGTAAGCCTCTTATAGCCCATGTTTGTAAGCCTCTAATACCCCATGTTTGTAAGCCTCTAACACCCCATGTTTGTAAGCCTCTAATACCCCATGTTTGTGAGCCTCTAATACCCCATGTTTGTGAGCCTCTAATACCCCATGTTTGTGAGCCTCAAATATCCCATGTTTGTAAGCCTCAAATATTCCATGTTTGTAAGCCTCAAATATCCCATGTTTGTAAGCCTCTAATATCCCATGTTTGTAAGCCTCTTATAGCCCATGTTTGTAAGCCTCTAATATCCCATGTTTGTAAGCCTCTAATATCCCATGTTTGTGAGCCTCAAATATCCCATGTTTGTGAGCCTCAAATACCCCATGTTTGTAAGCCTCTAATACCCCATGTTTGTGAGCCTCAAATATCCCATGTTTGTAAGCCTCAAATATCCCATGTTTGTAAGCCTCTAATATCCCATGTTTGTAAGCCTCTAATACCCCATGTTTGTAAGCCTCTAATACCCCATGTTTGTAAGCCTCTAATACCCCATGTTTGTAAACCTCAAATACCCCATGTTTGTAAGCCTCTAATATCCCATGTTTGTAAGCCTCTAATATCCCATGTTTGTAAGCCTCTAATATCCCATGTTTGTTAGCCTCAAATATCCCATGTTTGTAAGCCTCAAATATCCCATGTTTGTAAGCCTCTAATATCCCATGTTTGTGAGCCTCAAATATCCCATGTTTGTAAGCCTCTTATAGCCCATGTTTGTGAGCCTCAAATATCCCATGTTTGTAAGCCTCTAATACCCCATGTTTGTAAGCCTCTAACACCCCATGTTTGTGAGCCTCAAATATTCCATGTTTGTAAGCCTCAAATATCCCATGTTTGTAAGCCTCTAATATCCCATGTTTGTAAGCCTCTTATAGCCCATGTTTGTAAGCCTCAAATACCCCATGTTTGTAAGCCTCAAATATCCCATGTTTGTAAGCCTCTAATACCCCATGTTTGTGAGCCTCTAATATCCCATGTTTGTGAGCCTCAAATATCCCATGTTTGTAAGCCTCAAATACCCCATGTTTGTAAGACTCTAATACCCCATGTTTGTGAGCCTCAAATATCCCATGTTTGTGAGCCTCTAATACCCCATGTTTGTAAGCCTCTAATACCCCATGTTTGTAAGCCTCTAATACCCCATGTTTGTAAGCCTCTAATATCCCATGTTTGTAAGCCTCTAATACCACATGTTTGTAAGCCTCTAATATCCCATGTTTGTAAGCCTCTAATATCCCATGTTTGTGAGCCTCAAATATCCCATGTTTGTAAGCCTCTAATATCCCATGTTTGTAAGCCTCTAATATCCCATGTTTGTAAGCCTCTAATATCCCATGTTTGTGAGCCTCAAATATCCCATGTTTGTGAGCCTCAAATACCCCATGTTTGTAAGCCTCTAATACCCCATGTTTGTGAGCCTCTAATATCCCATGTTTGTGAGCCTCAAATATCCCATGTTTGTAAGCCTCAAATACCCCATGTTTGTAAGCCTCTAATACCCCATGTTTGTGAGCCTCAAATATCCCATGTTTGTAAGCCTCTTATAGCCCATGTTTGTAAGCCTCTAATACCCCATGTTTGTAAGCCTCTAATACCCCATGTTTGTAAGCCTCTAATATCCCATGTTTGTAAGCCTCTAATACCACATGTTTGTAAGCCTCTAATATCCCATGTTTGTAAGCCTCTAATATCCGATGTTTGTGAGCCTCAAATATCCCATGTTTGTAAGCCTCTAATATCCCATGTTTGTAAGCCTCTAATATCCCATGTTTGTAAGCCTCTAATATCCCATGTTTGTGAGCCTCAAATATCCCATGTTTGTGAGCCTCAAATACCCCATGTTTGTAAGCCTCTAATACCCCATGTTTGTGAGCCTCTAATATCCCATGTTTGTGAGCCTCAAATATCCCATGTTTGTAAGCCTCAAATACCCCATGTTTGTAAGCCTCTAATACCCCATGTTTGTGAGCCTCAAATATCCCATGTTTGTAAGCCTCAAATACCCCATGTTTGTAAGCCTCTAATACCCCATGTTTGTAAGCCTCTAATATCCCATGTTTGTAAGCCTCTAATATCCTATGTTTGTGAGCCTCAAATACCCCATGTTTGTGAGCCTCTAATACCCCATGTTTGTGAGCCTCTAATATCCCATGTTTGTAAGCCTCAAATATCCCATGTTTGTAAGCCTCTAATACCCCATGTTTGTAAGCCTCTAATACCCCATGTTTGTGAGCCTCTAATACCCCATGTTTGTGAGCCTCTAATATCCCATGTTTGTAAGCCTCTAATATCCCATGTTTGTGAGCCTCTAATATCCCATGTTTGTAAGCCTCTAATATCCCATGTTTGTGAGCCTCTAATACCCCATGTTTGTAAGCCTCTAATATCCCATGTTTGTGAGCCTTTAATCTCCCATGTTTGTAAGCCTCTAATATCCCATGTTTGTAAGCCTCTAATATCCCATGTTTGTAAGCCTCTAATATCCCATGTTTGTTAGCCTCTAATACCCCATGTTTGTAAGCCTCTAATATCCCATGTTTGTGAGCCTTTAATCTCCCATGTTTGTAAGCCTCTAATATCCCATGTTTGTAAGCCTCTAATATCCCATGTTTGTAAGCCTCTAATATCCCATGTTTGTTAGCCTCTAACACCTTATCTATGTGAGCAGGGACAGAGAACGCGCTGAACCAGCTACAGAACAACAAACAGGACAAGACCCTGCAAGCGGTCAGCGCCGCATCCCCCCAGGACACGGCCCTGGCTATCGTAGAGGCGGGCGCCAGACGACAGAAGAACGTCTTCTATCCTTTCTGGACGACGTGGACGTTCTCCTTCATGCGGAGTTTGTTCCCTGAGACCATGGACTACATTTTTATCAAGATGGTCATGGACCGATGAATGCCGTGTCTGTAGTTAGCTATGTGGGTAGGAGTGTGTGTCTCTTGGTGTATGTGTGTGTGTATGTGTCTGTATGTGGGTAGGTGTGTGTGTGTCTGTTGATGTGTGTGTATGTGTCTGTATGTGGGTAGGTGTGTGTGTGTCTGTTGATGTGTGTGTATGTGTCTGTATGTGGGTAGGTGTGTGTGTGTCTGTTGATGTGTGTGTATGTGTCTGTATGTGGGTAGGAATGAGTGTCTGTTGATTATGTGTATGTGTGTATGTATGTTTGTATCTGTATGTGTGTAGGAATGAGTGTCTGTTGGTGTGTATGTATGTGTCTATATGTGAGTAGGCGTGTGTGTCTGTTAGTGTGTGTATGTATGTGTATCTGTATGTGTGTTTGAGTGTGTGTAGGTGTATAATAGTGACAGTATGAATGATCTATTTATTGCAACTGAGTTAGTATTCTAGCATTGACTATACTGTCTCCTATACTGTGATACATATTAAGCGTCTAGTCCTGTTTTAGCTTACATTGCTGTTTATTTGACGTATTCCATATGATTGATGTCAAGTTACATTGAGTTATAATAAACATGATGTTGAATAAAATGGTTACATTTACTGAATTGTTGGAGTTGCTTATTGAAAGCGTTTTTACTCTCAAGTCACTAAATTATGACAAAATTACTAACAGAATAAAACTTAACAATATATCCCTAAACTACGACAGACTTACCCCAACAGAATATAAGTTACCAATAATGTGACAAAACTGACAATTTATAATAGTTTATTGCAAACAACTTTTTTTTTCTTAATAACCCGTTACAAACAGTTGAAACAAAAGCATTAATTATGTGGCACCTAATTATTTATGTTTCAATAGCTTCATAGGTCTTTTTTAAAAGCATTAATTAACGTTTAAACTTCAGGTAATATGAGAAAATGTGTGACATTTTAGATTCAAGACAGATTACTCGCACTTGTAGTCTACTGTGGTAGGTTGTCTCCCCTATAGTGTGCTGAACAACAACAGGTCGAAAACGAAACAAAATAATTTTTTATCTTAGGATTTTAATAAATAAACGCTGCGACCGATATTAGACAAAGTGTTAGAAATCGTACAATTAGTATTTAAATATTTGACTGTAATATATTATAAAGATCAACAACACATTGTAAAACATGGACCTCAAGCAACAGCCTGCATCAGGTGGTACATCAATAGGGGCGCCACGGCACTCTGGGGGCGCGGGCCGAAGTTCTGGGGTGTTGTTGGGACATTATGGACAACGGAGGGGGCGTTCTGGTAGTAGCCAGGGGAGTCATAGTTGTTGGATTGGGCGTTGGGGTAGCTGGACTGGGGGTTGTATGAGGTGGATGGGGCGTTGGGGTAGCTTGACTGGGGGTTGTATGACGTGGATGGGGCGTTGGGGTAGTTGGACTGGGGGTTGTATGAGGTGGATGGGGCGTTGGGGTAGTTGGACTGGGGGTTGTATGCGGTGGATGGGGCGTTGGGGTAGCTGGACTGGGGGTTGTATGAGGTGGATGGGGCGTTGGGGTAGTTGGACTGGGGGTTGTATGCGGTGGGTGGGGCGTTGGGGTAGTTGGACTGGGGGTTGTATGCGGTGGATGGGGCGTTGGGGTAGCTGGACTGGGGGTATGGTCGCTGGTTCAACAGAATGGAAATCACCTCGTCGTTTTTGTTGTAGGTGTTCTGCTGAGGCGGGATGCTGTAGGGGTTGTAGTTGGCTGGCGAGTTGAGAGACTTGACCACTCCCCCTGGGCCATCGCCGCCAGCACCTTGTGGAGACCCGGCCCCCGTGTCTGTGTACGGCCACTTGGGCTGGGAGTAGACGTTGCCGGGCTTGGCCGAGGCGGGGGGATTCTGGGGCGTCTCAACAAAGTTGTCCAGGAAACTGGACTGTGAGGGGTTGGGCGGTGGCGTAGGCTGGGACCTTTGTTGTTCTTGGAGAAGCGCTTGGGCTTGGTTTTGGGCCTAAAAGATTCAGTTGATATATTATATATATATATATATATATATATATATATATATATATATATATATATATATATATATATATATATATATATATATATATATATTTATTTATTTATTTATATATATATATATATATATATATATATATATATATATATATATATATATATATATATATATATATATATATATATATATATATATATGAATGTAGAAAGCATAAACCCAGTCATGATTGTGTGAAGAGTTTGTCAATACGACTTAGACATCGTGTGAGAAATGACACTATTGCAGTCACATTTAAAATTGAATGCAACTTCGATAAAAAGCTTTGTGTGATCGAACTCTTGACACATACAACACTGTCGATCAGTTAAGCTTATAAATCAAAATAAAATATGTATACGTAGCTCAACGGTTTCTATAGATCAATGGCTGAAGTTGAGAAAAGTGATTTATAATGGTCTGATTTCAATAGCGCTAAGTGTTTATAAAAAAATCATTATTAACACAATCTGCTGAACTTGTGTAGTTACATTAATTAGAGCGATGAAAGACTGTGTAAAGTCTGTCCGACAGCAGTAGAAGAAAGAGTCCATGATGTCTTTACTGCCTTCTTTACTCTGATCAGTTATTTTTAGCGCAATTTCCATTCTGGAGAATTGCGTTTATTAACCCGTCATTTCTGGATGGATGGATGGATGGATGGATGAATGTGTGTCCGCAGCTTTAAGTCGTATCTCCTCCTCAACGAAGCAATATCGATGACTAGTTCCAAAAGCAATTATGTTAAGCAAGTTACGAGGATGAACATAGGCCATAAAAATTCCGGGTTTCTTTCATGGATTTCCCAGAAAAGCCAAAAAATCTCGAAAAAAAGCAGTTTTTGGCCCATATCTCGGCAACCAGACCACTTAGCGACTTGAAACATGTACCAATCGATTCCTGTCATAATTTAGAACAATATTGCCGAAGAAAGTTTTCAAAAATATTCTCTCGTTCGGTCACAAATTTTAAAATTACATAAACACCTACAAACCGATTGTTCTTCTAGCTTGAACGCACCCCAACATTATACGTCAGAGCTATTTTTAGATAACATAAGGAAATTGCGCACAAATGTCACTAGACTTTTTAGCGCAATTTCCATTCTGGAGAATTGCGTTTATTAACTCGTCATTTCTGGGAATGGATGGATGGATGAATGAATGGATGAATGTGTGTCCGGGCTTTAAGTCGTATCTCCTCCTCAACGAAGCAATATCGATGACTAGTTCCAAAAGCAATTATGTTAAGCAAGTTACGAGAATGAGCATAGGCCATAAAAATTCCGGGTTTCTTTCATGTATTTCCCGTAAAAGCCAAAAAACCTCGACAAAATGCAGTTTTTGGCCCATATCTCGGCAACCAGACCACTTAGCGACTTGAAACATGTACCAATCGATTCCTGCCATAATTTAGAACAATATTGCCGAAGAAAGTTTTCAAAAATATCCATTTTTAAAGCTATTTATTTTAAATTATATATATATATAGGCATATATATATATATATATATATATATATATATATATATATATATATATATATATATATATATATATATATATATAATACTAAAACTCAAGTTTGTTTACATGTTTGAATATTTATTTGTTTTTTTGTTAGTTTGTTTTTTTGTTTGTCTGATTGACTATTGTAAATGGATCTACGCTATATGCAGAACTGTAAAATAGTATGTAGGTAAAGAACAATTTTTGTTTTCAGACAGATTATTAATCACAAATTTATTTAAAGACGTTAATTAATTTATTGATTTATTCATAGGTAGATTAACCACATTAATTTTAAAGTTTTAGAACAATGGCTTTCTTTGACTGAATAGTGACGTCACAAGTTTTGTTTACTTTTTAGTACAATAACATGGTGGCTTCGATCATAGACTTTGTGGCCCATTCAAAAGTTTAACGCGTTCTAAGGCTAATATTCTGTCGGCCATAACTTTAACAATACGTCCGTTTGCTGTTTTTTTTTATTACGATCCAACACTTATATAAATTTTCAACTGTCTTTTTAGTTTTACAATAAATTTCTCTAGCTCTACAATCTGTCCAAGAAAGTTATTTATAGATCTAAAAATATCAGGTGGCCAAGCAAGTTATTTATAGATCTAGATCCAGAATCTAGGTCAAACCAAAGATTAATTAGATACATACCAAAGATTAATTAGATAAAAATACAATCCATTTTATAATCATAATACATTTTTAGTCCTTAAATACTTGATATAAATCTTTGTGATTTATCTATCTAGATCTAGATCTAGATCTGTCTAGCTAGAATAGGTCTAAGACTCTAATGATTAGATCTAGATTCTAGATCTTGCAAGAGTTACGCAAAAACTAGACTTAAGACTTAAGCAAACGAGTCGTAGAATCTAGATCTGGATAATTCTATCTAGATCTAGATAATTTCAAACTTTCATTATTTTATATAAACCTTTGTTTGGCTAATTTAAGATAAAATTTAATTTGAAAGTTAAAACTACTAGATCTAGATCTAGATCTATGCGCGTAAATCAAGTTGCATAAGGAGACTCAAAGTATTAAACTATAGTATAAAAAACATCTGTGACGTCACGAGTTAAATAGCTTAGATTAGTGTAATCGGCTTGCATGCGGGTGGCGCAGGTTCTAGACCAATGCGTCAATCATAATTTTTTTTTTCAATTTTTTTTTTATTTTTTAGATGTGAATGATAAAGTTGCCTATCTGAACTTGGCGGGATAAAGGGCAGGTGAAGTAGAGTTAATCTGTTTCTTTGTCCTAAGCATATGAAGGGATAGTGTGGTCAGAGACATGCTCGGCTGGAATCGTTTTTTTAAACGATAAAAACATGTTGTCTGAGACTTGGCGGGACACTGGGCAGGTGAAGTAGAGTTGAGTAGGTCACCTGTGACGTCAGCATGTGAAGGGATTGTCCGAAATCGGTGTTTTCGGTGTTTTTAAAAGATAAAAAACATCTTTTTGAATGTGGGGTCTGTTTTTTTGTGACGATAAGTGACAGACGTGATGTTTTTTATGGATGAACCCCGAAACCCACAGTTATCCAACGGATGACGGGTAGTCTAGTATACTACTAAAACTCAAGTTTACATGTTTGATAACTCATTTTTTTTATTTTTTGTTTTTGTCTGATTTGTTATTGGGGAGAATCTGCATTATGTGTAGAGCTGTAAAATAGGATTTTGGGTGGAAAACATTGTTCTTTCTTAAACACACTGTTAATTACAAACTATTTTAAAGCCGTTAATTAATTTATTGATATATTCATTAGTAGATTAACCACATTAATTATAAAAGTTTAGAACAATGACTTTACTAAAAGTAAAAAAAAAATATTTTCTTTTTACAACAATGTTTTCAATTATTTTTTCTCAAAGCCTAGATGTGAATGTTTAATTTGACTATCAGGACTATCAGGACCTCGCGGGGCACAGGGCAGGTGAAGTAGAGTTCACCTGTTTCTATGTTCTCAGCATATGAAGGGATAGTGTGGTCAGATCCATGCTCGGCTGGAATCGTTTTTTTTTAATACAAACATGTCTCAGACTTAGCGGGACACTGGGCAGGTGAAGTAGAGTTTAGTAGAGTTTTTAAAAAAGCACAAACACAACACAAACGCAAACTCAAACAAAATCGCAAGCACAACTCAAACACAAAAGAAAACGCAAACACAAACGCAACACGCAAATGTTAACACAAAACACAAACGGAAACACAAATACAAACACAAAAGAAAATATTAAAAATGTTTACGGTTCTTTAAAACTGGTAAATTTTGTAAATTGTAACTTTTGGCTCTTTCGTCTCAAAAGGTTGCCAACCGCTGGCTAACCCTATTAGTTTAAAATGCCAGTAATACTGAAACTACGTTTAACTAAGTTTCAAGCTACAATACATTACCATCTCCCTCTGTAGTTTAGCAGATGCTTTAGCCTCGGCTTCAGCTTTGGCTTTCTGGTCAGCTTCATATGTGGCCCGAGCCTGCGAAACATGATGGAAAACTCAGATTTGACCTCAAAACAGGCTGTGTCGAGGTCTACAGTAAGAAATAGCTCTTGTTGTAGCTTTAATGTACGCTAGTCAATAAATTTTGTAAAAAGACGTAATAGTTACATATTTAAAATAAGCAAACCTGGGCTGCTAATTCTGCTTCTGCCGCGGCCCTTGCCTGTGCCTGTTGCCTATTTTGTTGGGCTGCTAATTCTGCCTCTGCTGCGGCTCTTGCTTGTGCTTGCTGTCTAGCTTGTTGGGCTGCTAATTCTGCCTCTGCCGCAGCCCTTGCCTGTGCCTGTGCCTGCAGCCTACTTTGTTGGGCTGCCAGTTCAGCATCTGCTGCGGCCCTTGCTTGTGCTTGCTGTCTAGCTTGCTCTGCGGCCATCATTTGCCGCTGTTGTTGTTGGTATAGTTCGTTTTGTCGCCGTCTCATTTCTTCTTGCTGTTTCTGTAGGGATAAAACATGGTATTACTTTAGGTAGTTAAACAAAAAGGTAACTTTTTAGCGCAATTTCCATTCTGGAGAATTGCGTTTATTAACCCGTCATTTCTGGATGGATGGATGGATGGATGGATGGATGGATGGATGGATGGATGGATGGATGGATGGATGGATGGATGGATGGATGGATGGATGAATGTATGGATGTGTGTCCGCAGCTTTAAGTCGTATCTCCTCCTCAACGAAGCAATATCGATGACTAGTTACAAAAACAATTATGTTAAGCAAGTTACGAGGATGAACATAGGCCATAAAAATTACGGGTTTCTTTCATGGATTTCCCGGAAAAGCCAAAAAAACTCAAAAAAATGCAGTTTTTTGCCCATATCTCGGCAACCAGACCACTTAGCGACTTGAAACAATGTACCAATCGATTCCTGCCATAATTTAGAACAATATTGCCGAAGAAAGTTTTCAAAAATATCCTTTCGTTTGGTCACAAAAAATTTTTTGAATTAATTAAAATTTGGACCGAATTAGTAGGCATTTTATGCAACCACACCACACGCGTCATCACGTTCAATAGCTGCGCCATTACGTTCAATGGCTGCGACGTCACGTTCGGTAGCTGGGCGCGCAATGGTTTTTTGTCCTTTTACTCTATTGTAAATAAAACATGTAAAATACTGAAAAAAATTTAATAAAAAACGTTTTAATAACTAACCAATGGTTTTACTAACCATGCTCTTGATTTACGCTACGACAGAGCTATTTTTAGATAACACAAGGAAATTGCGCTAAAATTGTCACTAGACTTTTTTTAATTACTTGTTTTTATAATACCGTAGTTATTACTACACGGACATTGTCAGTTTGGTAGCTCATGTGTGAAGGCATTACTTTATCTGCTGGGTCGCTAGAATGACCTACCTGTATGCCGGATGACCTACCTGTATGCCGGATGATCTACCTGTATGCGGGATGACCTACCTGTATGCCGGATAACCTACCTGTATGCCGGATGACCTACCTGTATGCCGGATGACCTACATGTATGCCGTATGACCTACCTGTATGCCGGATGACCTACATGTATGCCGTATTACCTACCTGTATGCCGTATGACCTACCTGTAGGCCGGATGACCTACCTGTATGCCGGATGACCTACCTGTATGCCGGATGACCTACCTGTATGCCGGATGATCTACCTGTATGCCGGATGACCTACCTGTAACATGACCTGCTGCTGGTACCGCTGCTTAGCCTCCTGCTGTGCCGCTAGAGCCGCGTACTCAGGCTTGAGGAGACAGACGTTCTTGCAGCCGTCATGACAGCAGTACTGGCTGCTGGGGCACAGGTTGGACGTGCTGCACTCGTTGGGTCCCCCACCAAACAGGGCGAAACAACTGGCGTCAGGGCACTGGCCTATAACAGATTTACATCAGGGCACCGATCTATAAAGATTTACATCATCAGGGCCTGGCCTATAACAAATTTACATCAACAGGGCACTGGTCTAAAACATTTATATCAACAGTCAGAGCATTGGCCTAAAACAGATTTACATCAGGGTACCGATCTATAAAGATTTACATCATCAGGGCCAAGCCTATAACAAATTTACATCATCAGGGCACTGGACTATAACAGATTTACATCAACAGGGCACTGTCCTTAAACAGATTTACATCAAGTGTCATGACAACCTACTAGCACTAAGTGAGGACCGCTGTATCAAGTGTCCTGCCACCTACCTATATAGACCCGGGGGTCGTTGAGTAGGTCGGGTATCTCCTCCCTCCGTGCCGATCTGAGCGTGGGCTGGCTTGTGGCCCGGGGCTTACAGACTCGACTACAGGCGTGTGGGCAGCAGATCTCACCTGAGGGGTCAAGTAAGGCAACTGTTAACTGGACCCTTACCTACAGTATGGGATGCTTTCAGGCGGCACACAATATAGTGTATAGTGCTATGATAGGGAGAAGTGACAACAGGTGCTATGATAGGGAGAAGGGACAACGAGGGCTAACAGAGAGAAAGAACAACAGGTTAGCAGATAAAAGATGTGCTCTGAAGAATGTATCGAGACTGCCCTGTAAAACTATAGTGTACACAGTTTCTAACTTGTACTGTAAAGATGTCGTGTACACAAATTGTAACTTGCACTGTAAAGCTGTCGTGTACATAGATTGTAAATTGCACTGTAAAACTGTCGTGTACACAGATTGTAACTTGTACTGTAAAGCTATCGTGTACACAAATTGTAACTTGCACTGTAAAGCTGTCGTGTACATAGATTGTAAATTGCACTGTAAAACTGTCGTGTACACAGATTGTAACTTGCACTGTAAAGCTGTCGTGTACATAGATTGTAAATTGCACTGTAAAACTGTCTTGTACACAGATTGTAAATTGCACTGTAAAGCTGTCGTGTAACTTGCACTGTAAAGCTGTCGTGTAACTTGCACTGTAAAGCTGTCGTGTAACTTGCACTAATCGCTCCTGTGTGTCTGTGTGGGGTTTAATCCCTCGCAAACCCGCTCTAATTCCTCCAGATGAAACACCGGAAATCGATGCCAGCCACGTGGTCTCTGGGAGCGAGTGCTGATTGGTTGGTTCTAGGCACCGAGATGGAGTGAGCAGGTACAAACAAGCGGTCACGTGGTACCATTTTTCCAGAGCTTCTTACAGGGGGCCTTTCCTTACACCGTGGTTTACCAAGAGCCGCTTTTGTTGCCTAGGGTCATGATATCATCGAAGTATACAGAGACTGTTCAACTTCTCTAGAATTGAAGTTGTATAATGGATTGTTCAAAGTAATTCGAATAGAAACAGTGCAAGCTTTTAATTTATTTTTCTTCGTGTAAACAGAAAACGTGTGTGTGTGGGGGGTGTGGGTGTGAGTGTGGGTGTGAGTGTGGGTGTGTGTGTGTGTATGTGTGTATGTGTGTGTGTGTGCTTTCAGTGGGAGCACACACACCCCCCCCCCTCCAAATAAATTCTAGATACGCCTGTGTTTCCCACGTAAACAACACCCTCATAAAACTATTTGGAGAAACTTATAAAGCCCATCAACACAAAATGTATTCGTTGTTTCTCTATCAGGACGTGGGTGTGGCGTGGTACACCACATCAAGGGCCATGTCCGCCACAGAAACCCCGTGTTACTAGTCATTCATTAGACCCGGCCATTATGTAAAGCAGGCTCAAATCTGTTGCTTCATCATGTTTACATAGGTCTCTGCTCGTGCTCTCAATAATTCATTAGCTAATTCAGTATTCTAGCTGCTCTTCTTTGTCTAGCTAAGGGTTAAGTGGAAATTATTGTCTCAGCTACAAGTGTAAAAGGGCTGCACGTGATTAATTTAGTCCTCAGAAGTACGTGAACCGACACAATGTTGAAAGTTACAAATGTTGAATATACGTCGTATGGTGTGGCTCTCAAGTTTCAAATAGCTGTGTACGTGTTATGTACCGTGAAAACGTGTAATCTCTATATACTGATATCAAACGCTAAAAGCTAGAACACTCAATGTATAGTTTAGAGTTATGATGACAGAGTTTATGAGAGTTAGAACAATGAGTAGATGTCTAGATACAGAGATAATGAGAGAACAATGAGTAGATGTCTAGATACAGAGATAATGAGAGAACAATGAGTAGATGTCCATACACAGAGATAATGAGAGAAAAATAATGTCCATACACAGAGATAATTAGAGTTAGACCAATGATGTCCATACACAGAAATAATGAGAGTTAGAACAATGATGTTTATATACAGAGATAATGAGAGATAGACCAATGATGTCCATATACAGAAATAATGAGAGTTAGAACAATGATGTTTATATACAGAGATAATGAGAGTTAGACCAATGATGTCCATATACAGATATAGTGAGAATTAGACCAATGATGTCCATATACATATAAAGTGAGAACTAGACCAATGATGTCAATACACAGAGACTTACCGTTGAGACAGTCCGAGTCGCCATAGCAGGGCGTGGCCACGGGGTCACACAAGCCCATCTGTCGGTTGGGGGGACACATGAAGTCAGACTGACCCCTGACCCCAACAGCTGGGGAACAAAAACAATGCAGGTAAACATATGACGTCAGCGGCCTTGAACTTGGTTGATCAACTGTCCCCCACCCATGTCCCCTCCCACAGGTCCTGTTGTAGGACATTTAGGACCTGTACCTTTGGCCACGTGACATCAAAGACAACCTGACACGTCAGAGCACATGTCACGTGACTACATTCTTCTCATGTTGTCAACAGCGGCGACTTTATACATAAGCACGTTGTGATCATCTGACCGATCCGTTGAAGATCTCCAGTAGAAGGTGGGGGGGGGGGGTTGATCTGTCCAATAGTTTAATACTTTTATGTCTACCCCTTACAGCTTACAGCTAGTGTTAGTGAAGAGATTCGTATCAATGTTTGTTCTGAACGTGTCCAAAATAAATTCCTGTCACATTGCTTGAGCACCCACCACCACCACCCCAACCTATATTTCTTTACACATCATCACAAAAATCTTCAATTGTCTTCACACATATATGCGGTCTTAAGTAACGATTATCTCTCTCTAGATCTGACTGTCACTTCATTGTATCTTATATGAAGAATAATAATCTGTAATTAAACACTCGTAACGTACATGGTCTAAGTGCTTCAGTCATTTAGTCAGTCATACAATGTCTCAGTAAGTCAGTCTTTTAGTTAGTTATATAATGTCTCAGTAAGTCAGACATTTAGTCAGCCATACAATGTCTACGTCAGTCATTTGGTCAGTCATACCATGTCTGAGTAAGGCAGTTATTTAGTCAGTCATACCATGTCTGAGTAAGGCAGTTATTTAGTCAGTCATACCATGTCTGAGTAAGTCAGTCATTTTAATTAGTATTACATTTCCGTGATGTAAAGAGTGAAAATATTAATTGAAATTTAACAATAATTAATGAGAATAAATTACTTTCGATACAGCACAAAGAACTGATGTAATGACATCGGTCTAGTATACTCTCACAGGGGCGATAACCATTAAATATTTTCCTTGTTTTCTTTAAACGTATACGACTATAAAAACTTGATTATTTATTTGTTTTAATACTCGTGTACGTGTAAGATGTGTATATTGTTATTAGTTTAGGCTATTAAACAAAATGCAATGCTTTCGCATTATATGAAAATAACATAACAACATATTGAGGATTATAAATGTTGATGTTTTTATAAATGACGATAGTTCATAAAATCTCGGTGCATGATAACAAAAATTTTCAAATGCATTGAAAAAAATGTTGGTGAGCAAAATGCAAAAAAATGTATTTTATTTTATTGTACACTTTCTAATATTTAAATATAGAAGTTTGATTTTAAAAATGCTTTTATTAAATTGTTTGATTTTTTTTTAAACGGTTAACAAAAATTACTTAACTTACACACCAAATGAACACACTGAATTTAACAGCGTAAAAGATAAGTACTTTTTATAGCGATCATTGGTAATTTTAAAATTAATTAAACATCTGATTAAGTTTTTGTAGCATTGCTGCATCACCTAGTCTTTATCTACGTGTCAAGTTTAAAAAAAAAAGTGAAGTTTCGTTCCCAAGTTTTAAAATAAAAATATGTCGGTAGAACTTGGCGAAGATTGGTTCCTAAGTTTGCACCTATGACAAGGCAATAAAACTCACGAACGAGGAACCAAATAAAAGCGTTGACGGTAGTCATGATTAATTAAGTTCTATTACCAAATGTATACAACATTGCAGCTTTCATTGATAAACACGCTTTATACCATATAGCCAACAGCGATCTGGCCTGTTCCAAAAGGGATTGTGCAAATTATTATTTGAATATAAGTTGTGACCTTGACGTGATAGAGTGGTGACGATGTTTGAGTCAGGGGCGGAACTATATACCGCCAGACAGGGGCGGAACTAATATACCGCCAGACAGGGGCAGAACTAATATACCACCAGACAGGGGCGGAACTAATATACCTCCAGACAGGGGCAGAACTAATATACCTCCAGACAGGGGCAGAACTAATATACCACCAGACAGGGGCGGAACTAATATACCACCAGACAGGGGCGGAACTATGTACCGCCAGACAGGGGCGGAACTATATACCGCCAGATAGGGGCGGAACTAATATACCGCCAGACAGGGGCGGAACTAATATACCGCCCAACAATGGGCGGAACTAATATACCACCAGACAGGGGTGGAACTAATATACCTCCAGACAGGGGCAGAACTAATATACCACCAGACAGGGGCGGAACTAATATACCTCCAGACCCCGAAAAAAATATAAGAATAAAACCAATACGAGAAACCATTACACTTTTTTCCGCCACTGACAAGTAGTGGCCAAGAGATTTTCTATCACAGTGGTGATCAGGCAGAAATACTTCGATCCTAGTCAAATTACAATTTCATTATCAAGTAGAAATGATCCTAGTCCAATTAAAATTACAATTACATGACCAGGTAGAAATACTTTAATCATTGTCAAATCACAATTAGAATTACATGATCAAGTAGAACTTTTTCGATGCTAGTCAACTCATAATTATATGATCGGGTAGAAATAATTCGATCCTAATCAAATCACAATTAGAATTTTATAATCGGCTAGAAATATTTCAATCCGAGTCAAATCATAAATAGAATTAAATCTTAGCAGCTGTAGCTCCTTATTAGTTCTGGTAGAAGATAGAGCACGGAGGGTACCATCATGCAGATAACTGAAAGGACCATCAGGTAGTACACTAATTAGACCATCCAATGAACCACCAAAATCGGTAGTACACTAATTAGACCATCCAATGAACCACCAAAATCGATAGTCCACTAATTAGACCATCCAATGAACCACCAAAAAAGGTAGTCAACTAATTAGACCATCCAATGAACCACCAAAATAGGTAGTCAACTAATTAGACCATCCAATGAACCACCAAAATCGGTAGTCCACTAATTAGACCATCCAACGAACCACCAAAATATTAAGACAATTTGTACAAACATGCAAGCAAGAAGATCAAATGAACGTACGTACCCACAAGAAACACTTTGAGGTAAATAAACAAACTTCCAATGCCCATCTTAGAAAATAATGTCAATTTAATCCTGTGTCAAAATAATCCTGGACTGTGCTGAAATCCACCTCACTAGAAACAAATTAAATTAACAGGTCAGAAACGCGTCACAATGAACGGTTACAATTAAAAACCACCTGCGATCATTGTGTTTAATTACATCTGTCTAACATTGGATATTTTACTGCTCCTGGAAGCGCACAAAAAAATGGAAGAGGAAAATATCTACGGTTCTCTCTACGGCTCAAAAGATTACAAAGATGGCGGTTAGCAACTGAGACTAGCGACACCGACATTATGTAAATTACAGGTAGAGCAACACGAAACAGAGGGACAGAGGGACGGAGGGACAGAGGGACGTGTCCTGTACCGTCATACGTCAGCCTGTCATCGGCCTCCCACTGGCCCACAAATGTCAGGCCGTCTGACATACTTTACTTCTCGATTGCCTTCCGTTCCTATTCTCGTCAAACTTTTGAAAACGTTTTCTCCAAATTAATTACTACCCTCTAATATCTACTCTCCTAAACGTTTATTTAATTAGTCCTGCCGCCCACCCGCTACAGTTAAACTACATGAGTGACCCAATGGTCAACGATGTCTGAGTTCTTGAGATAATCCGTGACAGACCCTAATCCCTTGTCAGAGAGGACTGGTTGTAAACTTGCCGTACTAGTAGCTCATATAATACTTTTAGTACAAACACCTTCACGGAACAAATTCCGGCATAATTAGAGTAGGTCACGCGGGGCGCTAATTAATGACATCCTGGTTCGTGACTGGTTGGTATCTAGTTTGTTAGGTGAGTGGACAGGTGGACTGTATGTTATCTAGTTTGTTAGTGGACAGGTGGACTAATAGCCCAACCTCCACTTCTCGTGGATCGGGTAGCCCAACCTTCCAGTTGTGGTGGATCGGGTAGCCCAACCTTCCACTTCTGGTGGATCGGGTAGCCCAACCATCCACTTCTGGTGGATCGGGTAGCCCAACCTTCCAGTTGTGGTGGATCGGGTAGCCCAACCTTCCACTTCTGGTGGATCGGGTAGCCCAACCCTCCACTTCTGGTGGATCGGGTAGCCCAACCTCCACTTCTGGTGGATCGGGTAGCCCAACCTCCACTTCTGGTGGATCGGGTAGCCCAACCTTCCACTTCTGGTGGATCGGGTAGCCCAACCTTCCACTTCTGGTGGATCGGGTAGCCCAACCATCCACTTCTGGTGGATCGGGTAGCCCAACCTTCCAGTTGTGGTGGATCGGGTAGCCCAACCTTCCACTTCTGGTGGATCGGGTAGCCCAACCCTCCACTTCTGGTGGATCGGGTAGCCCAACCTCCACTTCTGGTGGATCGGGTAGCCCAACCTTCCAGTTGTGGTGGATCGGGTAGCCCAACCTCCACTTCTGGTGGATCGGGTAGCCCAACCTCCACTTCTGGTGGATCGGGTAGCCCAACCCTCCACTTCTGGTGGATCGGGTAGCCCAACCTCCACTTCTGGTGGATCGGGTAGCCCAACCTCCACTTCTGGTGGATCGGGTAGCCCAACCTTCCAGTTGTGGTGGATCGGGTAGCCCAACCTCCACTTCTGGTGGATCGGGTAGCCCAACCTTCCACTTCTGGTGGATCGGGTAGCCCAACCTTCCACTTCTGGTGGATCGGGTAGCCCAACCCTCCACTTCTGGTGGATCGGGTAGCCCAACCTCCACTTCTGGTGGATCGGGTAGCCCAACCTCCACTTCTGGTGGATCGGGTAGCCCAACCTTCCAGTTGTGGTGGATCGGGTAGCCCAACCTTCCACTTCTGGTGGATCGGGTAGCCCAACCCTCCACTTCTGGTGGATCGGGTAGCCCAACCTCCACTTCTGGTGGATCGGGTAGCCCAACCTCCACTTCAGGTGGATCGGGTAGCCCAACCTTCCAGTTGTGGTGGATCGGGTAGCCCAACCTTCCAGTTGTGGTGGATCGGGTAGCCCAACCCTCCACTTCTGGTGGATCGGGTAGCCCAACCTCCACTTCTGGTGGATCGGGTAGCCCAACCTTCCAGTTGTGGTGGATCGGGTAGCCCAACCTTCCACTTCTGGTGGATCGGGTAGCCCAACCTTCCAGTTGTGGTGGATCGGGTAGCCCAACCTTCCAGTTGTGGTGGATCGGGTAGCCCAACCTTCCAGTTGTGGTGGATCGGGTAGCCCAACCCTCCACTTCTGGTGGATCGGGTAGCCCAACCTTCCAGTTGTGGTGGATCGGGTAGCCCAACCTTCCAGTTGTGGTGGATCGGGTAGCCCAACCTCCACTTCTGGTGGATCGGGTAGCCCAACCTCCACTTCTGGTGGATCGGGTAGCCCAACCTTCCAGTTGTGGTGGATCGGGTAGCCCAACCTTCCACTTCTGGTGGATCGGGTAGCCCAACCCTCCACTTCTGGTGGATCGGGTAGCCCAACCTCCACTTCTGGTGGATCGGGTAGCCCAACCCTCCACTTCTGGTGGATCGGGTAGCCCAACCTCCACTTCTGGTGGATCGGGTAGCCCAACCTTCCACTTCTGGTGGATCGGGTAGCCCAACCTTCCACTTCTGGTGGATCGGGTAGCCCAACCATCCACTTCTGGTGGATCGGGTAGCCCAACCTTCCAGTTGTGGTGGATCGGGTAGCCCAACCATCCACTTCTGGTGGATCGGGTAGCCCAACCTCCACTTCTGGTGGATCGGGTAGCCCAACCTCCACTTCTGGTGGATCGGGTAGCCCAACCTTCCAGTTGTGGTGGATCGGGTAGCCCAACCCTCCACTTCTGGTGGATCGGGTAGCCCAACCTTCCAGTTGTGGTGGATCGGGTAGCCCAACCTCCACTTCTGGTGGATCGGGTAGCCCAACCTCCACTTCTGGTGGATCGGGTAGCCCAACCTTCCAGTTGTGGTGGATCGGGTAGCCCAACCCTCCACTTCTGGTGGATCGGGTAGCCCAACCCTCCACTTCTGGTGGATCGGGTAGCCCAACCTCCACTTCTGGTGGATCGGGTAGCCCAACCTCCCAGTTGTGGTGGATCGGGTAGCCCAACCTCCCAGTTGTGGTGGATCGGGTAGCCCAACCTCCACTTCTGGTGGATCGGGTAGCCCAACCTCCCAGTTGTGGTGGATCGGGTAGCCCAACCTCCCAGTTGTGGTGGATCGGGTAGCCCAACCTCCACTTCTGGTGGATCGGGTAGCCCAACGTCCCAGTTGTGGTGGATCGGGTAGCCCAACCTCCCACTTCTGGTGGATCGGGTAGCCCAACCTCCACTTCTGGTGGATCGGGTAGCCCAACTTTCCAACCATTGAGACGCAAGAAAACTAACTTAGTCCTAAAAACGTCCGTATGGCAAAGACTGACGCAGCTGACCTATGATAGAGTCAGTGATGACAGACGACATAGGTCAAAGGCTATACAAAAGGTCTCTGATATCCCAGGTTACCTCTTATAAAACTATTCAATAAACGTAATAAACAGTCTATATATGTATTCATTGAATAGTCCTAGTCTTGACACTAACGCTATTGTAAAACCTACACTATACCCCTCATGTTACAGAAACTACAGTCTGAGGATCCAGATGACATCAGACACAATGACATGACGTCACTCAAGTGGCATGAACTTCCGGTGGTTGACATCACTTGAGACGATTCAAGTTTGAGTTGGGGTCAGCGCTAGTTGAGGGCTAGCGATTGGGTTCTAGAATATTCTCAACTAGTCCAGTAACTGAAACAGAGAGCCATACATTCCGACACTGAGCAACGACTTAATCTTGAAGGAATGAAAACAGTTCAAACATAGAGCGTGACAAATAACATTATAGGAGACTAGCTGCATACCCGTGCTCCACCACGGTGAATCTTTTTTAAATGTACCAACTTGGGAACAGAACAAAACTAAGCACAAACACAAAAGAAAACACAACGCAAACACAAACACAAAAGAAAACACATACACAACACAAACACAAACACGCAAAAAATACAAACACAAAAAAATGCAAACACAAATGCAAACACAAACGCAAAAAAACACAAAAGAAAGCACAAACGCAACACGCAAACACAAACACAAAAGAAAAAAAAACACAAACACTAAAGAAAACGCTAACACAAACACCATGCAAACACAAATGCAAAATCAAAAAAACACAAACGCAAACGCAACACACATAACATAAACACAACTTAAATTCAAACATAAAATATAGTGCTCAAAGTCCGTGTTTTACCTACCATATTGCACGTTATGAATCCATGTTAAGTGTATTACTTCAACAATAATGCCCTTTGGACTTCCGCGGAATTGGCATTCACATTTTTTTATTAGCGTGATTTGGATTTTTTAAATTACCTCCCTTTGTATAATTATTAAACATTTTAAGTAATTTAATTTTTTTACCCTACTGTTATTGAAATGTATCCAATTTTTTTCTAGGAATCTAAGCGATAGTATTATTTGAAATTGATCCGTTTAAAATGTTTTATCAATATGCGTGTATTTAATATTTTCTTCACGTTATGCGAAAGAATAAAACTGTGGCAACTCAAAAATTAATTTAAGTCATTATATAAACAAATCCTACTTCATTTCTTATGATAAGACAATGCAATGCAATTTACTCCATAGTTAGAGTGTTTACTTTTAATGGTTCTAAAATCTATAGCGATGACGGAAGGAAGGAAGGAAGGACTGACACACTACCACCAGCCTCATATAACTTATATTATAGATGTAGTTCTAAAACTATTCTGTGTACTACACGCCTGTTTCTACGATTTATTTAGAAAGCATCTGACATGTAATGTAGCCTACGTCTATAAAACAACTGATAGAAACCTCTGTTATGTTTCTGTCAATACAATATCTATATGACTACAATACATCAACTAATTTATGTCAATACACTAACCACACGACTAAAATACAAATACCACATGTTTACAATACAATAACCACATAATTACAATACAAAACCACATAACTATACGATAACCCCATGATTACAATAATAACCATATGACAATACAATAACCACATGTTTACAATACAATAACCACATGTTTACAATACAATAACCACAAAATTACAATACGATAACCACATGATTACAATAATAACCACATGACAATACAATAACCGCACTACTACAATACATCGACTACTTGTACGTGTGTCAAAGTTTGAAGGACTGTTGTGAGTGTCCATCAAGTGGATGACCAAGTGTTCAGCCATTACAAGCTGCTGTTTCCTTCAGCTAATTGCTGGCCATTACATCTTGCTGACGGCTGTAATGAAACAATTCCAGTGAGCATTGGGCGCATTCAGAGCTGTGGTGTTTTTTATAGCAGAGGGGGGTTAGGCCAACTTAATGTCGCAGTGAGGATAGGATACGTGTGAGTCTTTAGTACAAATTGAGAATAGGATAAATGTGAGACTTAAATACACAGGATAGGATAAATGTGAGTACTTTAGTACACATTGAGGATAGGATAAATGTGAGACTTAAATACACAGGATAGGATAAATGTGAGTACTTTAGTACACATTGAGGATAGGATAAATGTGAGACTTAAATACACAGGATAGGATAAATGTGAGTACTTTAGTACACATTGAGGATAGGATAAATGTGAGACTTAAATACACAGGATAGGATAAATGTGAGTACTTTAGTACACATTAAGGATAGGATAAATGTGAGTACTTTAGTACACATAGAGGATAGGATAAATGTGAGTACTTTAGTACACATAGAGGATAGGATAAATGTGAGAACTTTAGTACACATTGAGTATATGATAAATGTGGGTACTTTAGTACATATTGAGAATAGGATAAATGTGAGACTTAAATACACAGGATAGGATAAATGTGAGTACTTCAGTACACATTGAGGATAGGATAAATGTGAGACTTAAATACACAGGATAGGATAAATGTGAGTACTTCAGTACACATTGAGGATAGGATAAATGTGAGACTTAAATACACAGGATAGGATAAATGTGAGTACTTTAGTACACATTAAGGATAGGATAAATGTGAGTACTTTAGTACACATAGAGGATAGGATAAATGTGAGACTTAAATACACAGGATAGGATAAATGTGAGTACTTTAGTACACATTAAGGATAGGATAAATGTGAGTACTTTAGTACAAATTGAGAATAGGATAAATGTGAGACTTAAATACACAGGATAGGATAAATGTGAGTACTTTAGTACACATTAAGGATAGGATAAATGTGAGTACTTTAGTACACATAGAGGATAGGATAAATGTGAGTACTTTAGTACACATAGAGGATAGGATAAATGTGAGAACTTTAGTACACATTGAGTATATGATAAATGTGGGTACTTTAGTACATATTGAGAATAGGATAAATGTGAGACTTAAATACACAGGATAGGATAAATGTGAGTACTTCAGTACACATTGAGGATAGGATAAATGTGAGACTTAAATACACAGGATAGGATAAATGTGAGTACTTCAGTACACATTGAGGATAGGATAAATGTGAGACTTAAATACACAGGATAGGATAAATGTGAGACTTAAATACACAGGATAGGATAAATGTGAGTACTTCAGTACACATTGAGGATAGGATAAATGTGAGACTTAAATACACAGGATAGGATAAATGATAGGATAAATGTGAGACTTAAATACACAGGATAGGATAAATGTTAGTACTTTAGTACACATTGAGAATAGGATAAATGTGAGACTTAAATACACAGGATAGGATAAATGTTAGTACTTCAGTACACATTAAGGATAGGATAAATGTGAGTACTTTAGTACACATTGATAGCTTGAGATGGAGTGAACAAATACACATGTGAACAGGTACACATGTATACACATGTGAACAGGTACACATGTGAACAGGTACACATGTGAACAGGTACACATTTTCCGAGAACATTTTGTCTGTTATAAGACACGGCTGTTCTGCACCTAGGTGCATATATGGGTGCCAGATCTAGCCTTAGTACTGGGCCACAGTATTTTGTCTGTACATCAGTTGGCTACAGCGGTGCATGGGTCGGCTGTTTATTATCTTTTCTTAACCTTGATTTATAACACGTAAACACACGGCACATTACACAGCGCGCCATTAATTATTGTATGAAACTTTAAAAGCCGAGTGAAATATTCTTTTCCACAGGAGTGTAACAAAAGAAATCTTCCTTTTGGTAGGAGTGTAACAAAAGAAATCTTCCTTTAGGTAGGAGTGTAACAAAAGAAATCTTCCTTTCAGTAGGAGTGTAACAAAAGAAATCTTCCTTTAGGTAGGAGTGTAACAAAAGAAATCTTCCTTTAGGTAGGAGTGTAACAAAAGAAATCTTCCTTTAGGTAGGAGTGTAACAAAAGAAATCTTCCTTTAGGTAGGAGTGTAACAAAAGAAATCTTTCTTTTGGTAGGAGTGTAACAAAAGAAATCTTCCTTTAGGTAGGAATGTGACAAAAGAAATCTTCCTTTAGGTAGGAGTGTAACAAAAGAAATCTTCCTTTTGGTAGGAGTGTAACAAAAGAAATCTTCCTTTAGGTAGGAGTGTAACAAAAGAAATCTTTCTTTAGGTAGGAGTGTAACAAAATAAATCGTTCTTTCGGCTTAAGTGTAACAAAAGAAATTTTCCTTTTGGTAGGAGTGTAACAAAAGAAATCTTCCTTTAGGTAGTAGTGTAACAAAAGAAATCTTCCTTTAGGTAGGAGTGTAACAAAAGAAATCTTTCTTTAGGTAGGAGTGTAACAAAATAAATCGTTCTTTCGGCTTAAGTGTAACAAAAGAAATCTTCCTTTAGGTAGGAATGTGACAAAAGAAATCTTCCTTTAGGTAGGAGTGTAACAAAAGAAATCTTCCTTTTGGTAGGAGTGTAACAAAAGAAATCTTCCTTTAGGTAGGAGTGTAACAAAAGAAATCTTTCTTTAGGTAGGAGTGTAACAAAATAAATCGTTCTTTCGGCTTAAGTGTAACAAAAGAAATTTTCCTTTTGGTAGGAGTGTAACAAAGAAATCTTCCTTTAGGTAGTAGTGTAACAAAAGAAATCTTCCTTTAGGTAGGAGTGTAACAAAAGAAATCTTCCTTTAGGTAGGAGTGTAACAAAATAAATCGTTCTTTCGGCTTAAGTGTAACAAAAGAAATCTTCCTTTAGGTAGGAGTGTAACAAAAGAAATCTTCCTGTTGGTAGGAGTGTAACAAAAGAAATCTTCCTTTAGGTAGGAGTGTAACAAAAGAAATCTTACTTTAGGTAGGAGTGTAACAAAAGAAATCTTACTTTAGGTAGGAGTGTAACAAAAGAAATCTTCCTTTAGGTAGGAGTGTAACAAAAGAAATCTTCCTTTTGGTAGGAGTGTAACAAAAGAAATATTTCTTTAGGTAGGAGTGTAACAAAATAAATCTTTCTTTTGGTAGGAGTGTAACAAAATAAATCTTCCTTTTGGTAGGAGTGTAACAAAAGAAATATTTCTTTAGGTAGGAGTGTAACAAAATAAATCTTTCTTTTGGTAGGAGTGTAACAAAATAAATCTTTCTTTTGGTAGGAGTGTAACAAAATAAATCTTCTTTTTGGTAGGAGTGTAACAAAAGAAATATTTCTTTAGGTAGGAGTGTAACAAAATAAATCTTTCTTTTGGTAGGAGTGTAACAAACAAATCTGTAATTGAGCAAAACTTGTACAACCTCTGGAACATGCTAGACGTGTGATGACAACGATGACAACCGCCATTTGTCTGTTTGTGCTCTACGTCATCTCGCTCACTGGTGAGTACATTCTTTAGCTTTTTCTCAACATCACCAACATTATCAACACAACCATCAACACCAACACCATCAACACAACCACCAAAATCACTACTAAAGGCAACAACATCACCATCATTACCAACAGCAACTACACCACCATCATTACCAACAGCAATAACACCACAATCATTACCAACAGCAACAACACCACCATCATCAAACAGCAACCACGCCACCAGCATCACCAACACCTACCACGCCACCAGCATCACCAACAGCAACCGCACCATCATCACCAACATCATCTACATCCCAATCATTACCGTTATCGCCTTTGAAAACACCTCCACCACCAACACCACCATAAGAAACTGTATTATCGACGCTACCGTCAACCTGCATCATCTACGCCACTACTATCACAACCATAAACAGCAAAATCAACGTCACCACCATAACTACCACCATCTCATAGTGCACAAATTCTCGTATATTCTGACGCTATTCTCCAAAAAAGACACTGCCCTGTGTTGTCCATAATAAACTATTTCAATTATTTCGTCAAACTTGAAACAAAAATTCAAATTATGAACGAATTAAACTTAAATGATTTAAAACTTCGCAGTTTTAGTGGGTTTATGATTAATCTGTGCTGTTGATGTCAAAAATGTCAGTCATTTAGGCTTTTCTACTGTCAGCTGACGAATGATGTACACAATTATGTTGCATCCCATTATCCTCCTCTTGTAGTGGATGATCGTTAAAATGTTTCATAGCTTTAAATTTCTGACATCTTTTGTCTAAAAAAAAAACTTGTATTTCTCAGCATTGATGGATATATACCATAGCATAGCCACATAGCCATAACAAAACTGACACATGGCCTCAACACTGACACATGACCACAACACTGACACATGACCACAACACATGACCACCACACTGCCACATGACCACAACACTGACACATGGCCACAATACTGACACATGACCACAACACTGACATATGACCACAACACTGACACATGACCACAACACATGACCACAACACTGACACATGACCACAACACTGACACATGACCACAACACATGACCACAACACTGACACATGACCACAACACTGACACATGACCACAACACTGACACATGGCCACAATACTGACACACTGCCACATGACCACAACACTGACACATGGCCACAATACTGACACATGACCACAACACTGACATATGACCACAACACTGACACATGACCACAACACATGACCACAACACTGACACATGACCACAACACTGACACATGACCACAACACATGACCACAACACTGACACATGACCACAACACTGACACATGACCACAACACTGACACATGGCCACAATACTGACACATGACCACAACACTGACACACTAACACATGACCACAACATGCTATCACATGACCCTTTGTTGAGCATAAGAAGGGGCGGCAACCTCGTGATTCCAAAAAGTAGCAATACGCCCCCTTGTTTGACATCATTACTTGCATACTTAATCCAAAAAAATTTTTTTACATAGCTTATAAATGGTAGTTTATGGTACGGTAAAGTAAACAGTAAAGAAGGTAACACCAGTAAGTAATGTAGGACGGGACATCTTCCACACCAGAGGCGTAGCGAGGGGGGGGGGGGCGGGGGGACATATGACCCCGGGCGCCGACCTTAGGGGGGCGCCAAATTGAAAGTTTGAGGGGGGGTGCAAATGAAAAGTTCGAGGGGGGTGGAAATCGAAAGTTTGAGGGGGGGGGGGGTGCAAATGAATAGCTCGAGGGGGGTGCAAATCGAAAGTTTGTCCCCGGGCGCCGGGAAGGGTCGCTACGCCTCTGTTCCACACAATCAAGGACTACGCGTCAACATGTTACGCTCTATAAGTATAAAGCCTTTCTTCAAGTTGCGTTTCTTTCTGGATTTACTTCGATTGACTTTGTCTGTACAAGAACAAACTACAAGACAGCAGTTGTTTGATTTTGGAGTTTACTTGCCCAGATGGGTTGCAGTCTCTAGCTATCGAGCCTCATCTGCCAGGGGGTTTTCGGCTTAGCAACTATCAGGCGCCCCTTTAATGGGAGGTAATGACAGGCAGGTGGTCTATTGATGAGAGTAAATTTAACCCGGCCTGTGGTATACTTTGGTCGTGCTTTCTAACATTAAAATATCGCTTTGTCCTAAAAATAATTTATTGCCCCTAAAGCTGTAAAAATGAAAGATTGTACGTTGAACTCTGTGTGATGAGAGCGGATGATTTATTCGAGTTGTCGTTCTTGATGTGTCAAGGTACATAACTCAAAAAACTCTTTGTCATATGACGTCAGGAACTAAAAGTAGTAAACGAGCGCTGATAGTTTAAACATTTTCTTTTTTGCACTCATGCATTGCTATTATGGGATTGTGAAATTTTTAAATGAAATTTAGCTTTTACGAAGCATTTTAGAATACTTAGTTAATTACGATTAATATAGATCACATCATTGACCTTTGACACAGAACGGTTAAACCAGTCTACCAACACACTGGTTAACACTAAAGTTTACGGTAGCCAGATCTAGACTATTTTCTTAGTTTCGAATTGGAGCCAAACAGACACTTTTACTTGCCCGAATGGACACTTGCCCGAATGGACACTTGCCCGAATAGACACTTGCCCGAATGGACACTTGCCCGAATAGGACAACTATCCGAAAGCCACTTGCCTAAGGCCTTTTTTCCGAAAAAATGTTTATAATATATGTTTATATTATTAAGGGTCTTTCTTAATAAGTTTGGATTTGACATTTTGATGACATAAAAAACATTTTAAATAGTTTATATTATAAATTACCAAGTATCCATTCGGGAAAACTGCTTTCTGGCAAACGGCATTCGGTAGAGTTTCTTTCTGGAATTTGTCGTAGACCCGTTCCAAATCTTCAGTGTGGTTGTGAGTGAAGAGGGGAGAGCCTGAAAATCGGAGTGTGGTGGGTAGAGCATGACGTCATCGTCATTCACTCCAATCTGAGCATGTAACTAACTAATCGTAATTATGCTATACTTTTTTTAGCGCAATTTCCATACTGACAATTGCGATTATTAATTCGTTCTGGATGGATGTGTGTCCGATGTGTGTCCGCTGCTTTAAGTCGTATCTCCTCCTCAACGAAGCAATATCGAGGACTAGTTCCAAAGCAAATATGTTAAGCAAGTTCCGAGGATGATTGTGGGCCAAAAATATTCCCGGAATTCCTTCCTGGATTTCCCGGAAAAGCCAAAAAAACTCGAAAAAATGCTGTTTTCGGCCCATATCTCGGCAACCAGACCACTTAGCACCTTGAAACATTTACCAATCGATTTCTGTCATAATTTAGAACAATATTGCCGAAGAAAGTTTTCAAAAATATCCTTTCGTTCGGTCACAAAAAATTAATTAAGGAAATTGCGCTTAAATTGTCACTAGACTTTTTATTAACTTGTTTTCAGAAGCCCAAAACAAGGGAGAGCTGACGCTCCACGCACGGGTTGTCTCCCCTTACTCGGCAGAAGTGAAATGGAAAGATGGCGGCATGAGCGCTAAACTCAAACCCAGACGTGAGGTCACGCTACGGTACAGGTCGGCCAACACCAACTACACGGAGGTCAAGTCAAGGTCAAGGAAAATCAAATTGTCTGGACTTGTGCCCAACTCCACCTACGAGCTGTCCGTCAAAGATGACGACAGGTGGTCACGTGACTGGAGCGATGCCATTTACTTTACGACCTTGGCATTACATGAAGGTCAAGGTCAGTCACATCACGTGTTTATATATCCCATTTTCTCTATAAGGGATTAATTTATTCATTCGGATTGTTCAAAACTGATCATCTTTCCTTTGTGGTCCCTGGGGAGCAAAGGGCTGCAACCACACATCTCCAGCGGACTCGGTTTTGGGCTGCTCCCTTTATCTGTGCCCACGTGAGCCCAGCTGTTTTTGCCTCTTCTTCAACCGTTCTTCTCCATGTCTTCCTTGGCCGGCCAACCCTTTTTTTTCCCTGGGGATTCCAGTCCAAAGCATGTTTTGCGATGTTTTTCAATGTTGTTCAAAACTGATGCTTAAACATAAATGTATTAATATAGGAGTCAACTGAAGTCAAGTAAAGGTAGTAGAAAATTATTTCTCCCCCCCCCCCCCCCCGCAGATCATTTTTCATATATATATATATATATATATATATATATATATATATATATATATATATATATATATATATATATATATATATATAAAAGATATACTTTAACCAGTGGCTGCATTATAATTTATCCTGTATCCAATCGTTTCCAGACTTGGTGAGAAACCTAACGGCTAGACCTGTATCCGATGAAAATATTGTGTTGTCGTGGATACCGCCTGTACAAGATGGCAGCATTCAGGGCTATACAATCTTCTACAAGCGGGCTGGATCCAGGCAACATTTTCATCAAGTGAACATATCAAGGGAGATGACCGTCTATGAGATGACAAAACTCCGTCCTAATCAACTTTACACTTTTAAAATGCAGAGCAGGAAGGTAAACTAGTAATGAAAATAATAATTTGCTTAAATAGTTATTTATTATGTTAAATTTTAATGTCATGTCATCCATCTCATTACAAAAAGTAAATCGTGATTTACTTCCCCTAACCAGACAGACGGCACAAACAGCTTCAGTACTGTGGTACAAGCTAAGACATTTTCAAACGTCCAAGCGCCGAAATCTTTGGAAGTTCTCGTCATCGGTGATAACGTAAGAACATTTTGTTAATTGAAGAACATATTTTCTTGTCATCGGGGATAACGTAAGAACATTTTGTTAGTTGAGGAATATATTTTCTTGTCATCCGTGAAAACGTAAGAACATTTTGTTAGTTGAGGAATATATTTTCTTGTCATCAGTGAAAACGTAAGAACATTTTGTTAGTTGAGGAATATATTTTCTTGTCATCAGTGGTAATGTAAGAACTTTTATGTCATTTGAAGAGGATCCCAGAGTATTATCTAAAAACAAATAGATTATCATAAAATAAACGACAGAGTTTAACGGCACAAAAAAGTAATTATGTATGTTGTTGGTTGCTTTATAAAATTAGCAAGTTCTTGTAAGATGGCAGCCATCTATTCCCCTACCAAGAAATACAATTGGATACACGATACAACATCAATGTGGAAGGAAAAGGCGAGGGAAAATGACAACAATATCTGTTGAAAAAGGAAATACCAGCTACATTCTTAAAGGTAGCTCGCATTAGACTGGGTTCTAATTTTAAAGTTTGACATAAATATTTTATCCTAGATTTATAGCAAAGATATATAACATATAGTTCATTATGTAATATGTATGTAGCTATTAACAGTATTTATTAAAGCAGTAGTTTTTTTTTTAAAAAGAAAGCTTAGAAGACTAAAAACTTTTAATTCCATTTATTAGATTTTATCAAAACATGCTTTATAGCTACAAGTATCCTTGGTATCTGCCCTACTTATTTTCTGATTTTAAAAAAGTTTAATAAAAAAATGTCTACCATGCACCATGAATGCTCCAGACATTCGACTGAATGAGACGTGTAGAGTACGTGTTGCATCAAGAATGGTTCATGGAACTGGTCTTTACACCAAATGGGAATCATTTTTTATTTCTACTATCAATACTGGTATGGACAATTTTTCTTGAGTTATCTTACAAATATTTCAGTTTGTACTCATATTTATTGGTTTTTTTAAATTAACCTAAAACTTGTTTGATATCATAATGACACACTTACAAAATAAATATATAGTAATTTGTTTTCTACTTACAGATGCCACGTTTTCTGACAGTTTTAGATCCACTGTGGCACCAGCAGACCAGAGCAGCATGTTTGAGGTCACTGACTTTAGTTTGAGCACCAGTGACAGCTACAGTAAGCCCTTGGAAGATTTCCTGGGCTCCTCCTTACCTCCCTTTACTGCACCGCCTAGTGTAACACTACACCAAGCTTCCAATGTCAGTCTTGGTGGTGATGCCAACATAACATGCAAGGCTTCAGGTGTAGAGGCGCCAACAATTGAATGGTTCATTGAATCTGATGATGGAGATCTTAGCCTTGTTCAGGTCTGTACTGCACTTTACTTTATACATTTAAAAAATTCCGGGGCTGCTATATACTGCTACACAGATTCTCTTGCTTAATTAAAGTTTAAATATTTGATAAATTGATAAACATTTTAGTATGCTGAAAATTATTCCATTATTGTTCAACATCTAAAGCAGGCTCCTAGTTCAGAATTGAACTTTGCTGAGAAAGTGACCATTGCCCAAGAAGTTACACAGGACGTTGTGACCTCAGTCTTGTTTTTATACAACATAACCAAGGCAGGGGACAGGGAGGTCAAGTGTGTGGCTAGAAACATGGCAGGGACTGATGAGGAGGTGTTACAGCTGGTCATTGATGGTAGGTTTGTTAACTGTCTGGGTTCATGGTAGGTTTGTTAACTGCCTGGGTTAATGGTAGGTTTGTTAACAGGTTTGTTAACTGTCTGGGTTAATGGTAGGTTTGTTAACTGTCTGGGTTCATGGTAGGTTTGTTAACTGTCTGGGTTCATGGTAGGTTTGTTAACTGTCTGGGTTAATGGTAGGTTTGTTAACTGTCTGGGTTAATGGTAAGTTTGTTAACTGTCTGGGTTAATGGTAGGTTTGTTAACTGTCTGGGTTCATGGTAGGTTTGTTAACTGTCTGGGTTCATGGTAGGTTTGTTAACTGTCTGGGTAAATGGTAGGTTTGTTAACTGTCTGGGTTCATGGTAGGTTTGTTAACTGTCTGGGTTAATGGTAGGTTTGTTAACTGTCTGGGTTCATGGTAGGTTTGTTAACTGTCTGGGTTCATGGTAGGTTTGTTAACTGTCTGGGTTCATGGTAGGTTTGTTAACTGTCTGGGTTCATGGTAGGTTTGTTAACTGTGTGGTTTCATGGTAGGTTTGTAAACAGATTTGTTAAATGTGTGGGTTAATGGTAGGGTCAGTGTTTCTTCCAGGCATCTCTTTAGTCTGCTGCCTTTCCCCCCCCCCCCTCCCCGAGCCAAATGGAAATTTATATAGTAAATATATTCTTTTACCAGCGTCCCCTCCCCCCCCCTCCCCCCTGTAAATATTAAGTGCCCCCCCCCTCTCTCCCAGAGAAAAAAGTCTGGAAGAAACACTGGTTAGGTTTGTTAACAGGTTCTGTTATTAGTTTTATTAACTAAAGTTTGACTGAGTTACAATATTAGAATCACCATCATGTGTTTAGAAACAGAATACATGATAAATATATGAACTATCTTCCAATGATTGGCAGAACCTCCAAAAATTCAGTTTGCTGAGGGAATGACAGTGGACATGTACTCAAATGCCCAGTTGATCTGTGAAATATTGGGCAAAAAGATAACTGAGGTGAAATGGGTCCATGTACCCTCCAACATTGAGTACCATCAGGTGTGTATGATAGACTTCTCTCTTAAATTAAAACACGAACACAGTATGGCAGTGTTAACATTATTAAGATAATTATTCAGCTGATTTTCCCATCATTGCCTAACTGTGAGCCTGACACACACAGGGTGTTGAGAGCCAGACTGGATTCTCCGTCAGATCTGTGAGAGACGAGACGAGATCTACGACAACTTTTGTTCTCTCCCTGCACAACACCAGCCTAGCACATGAAGGTGCTTACAAATGTGTAGCCAAATCCTTGTCAGCAACAGATGAGGCATTTGTTACCTTGAGAGTCAAAGGTATATACTAACATATTCATCGTATAAAATATGTAAAAAAAAAACTATAAATATTTTTAAAAATTAATAATGTTAGTCTTATATATTGGCTGTATTTTCTCTGTTTTTATTAGAAATCTAATCTTAAATAAAAAAGCAACAATTAATAAGTGTTATAATCTTAGATAAAACAGTAACATATATGTGGTGTTGTAATCTTAGATAAAACAGTAACATTTATGTGGTGTTGTAATCTTAGATAAAACAGTAACATTTATGTGGTGTTGTAATCTTAGATAAAACAGTAACATTTATGTGGTGTTGTAATCTTAGATAAAACAGTAACATTTATGTGGTGTTGATTCTGTTACAGTGCCACCCCCACCTCCTGTGTATAAAATTCAAACAATTGCCCTCTCACCCACAAGGATTTCAGTCAGCTGGTTACCTCCACTAAACTACCCCTACAACATCAACTATTACCAGGTAACAGCATGACATATGCCCATACATTCAACTATTACCAGGTAACAGCATGGCATATGCCCATACATTCAACTATTACCAGGTAACAGCATGGCATATGCCCATACATTCAACTATAACCAGGTAACAGCATGGCATATGCCCATACATTCAACTATAACCAGGTGACAACATGGCATATGTCCATACATTCAACTATTACCAGGTAACAGCATGGCATATGCCCATACATTCAACTATTACCAGGTTACAGCATGGCATAAGCCCAAACATTCAACTATTGCCAGGTAACAGCATGGCATATGCCCATACATTCAACTATTACCAGGTAATAGCATGGCATATGCCCATACATTCAACTATTACCAGATAACAGCATGGCATATGCCCATACATTCAACTATTACCAGGTAACAGCATGGCATATGCCCATACATTCAACTATTACCAGGTAACAGCATGGCATATGCCCATACATTCAACTATTACCAGGTAACAGCATGGCAGATGCCCATACATTTTATTATGATTTTTAACAACAATATAATGACACCTTCAAGTAGAAAATTATTACATGATTTTTTTTTTATATTTAACTGATAATATGTATGTAAAATCTTTGATTACTTTAGAGTAAGATGAAGTTTGTTCTAGAATTAAGCCAAAGTAACTTAATATAGGTATTCTAAATGAGCCGAAAAATTTAAGCCGGTTTTAAAAATTTTTGGTCGCGTTGCGGCATCGCGCGGCGGTCCGACCCCATAACACATACGCAATTAGAAACCACTGATTTAGAAAGAAGAATGGTAGCTCTGTAAGATGGTATAACTTTGCCAACTGTATAATATAATTAAATGCTAAAAATGTTCAATTTAAAATTTTAAAATGTTTTTTTTCCATGAAAAAATAATTTTACAGCCGCCAAAGTTGTATATTCCGAAAGGGCATCCAATTTGCCATAAAACTGTTACAATTTAATGAACACTCCATGTATGGGGTCGGACCGCAGTAAATGAAACCAATGTATACAAATCGCGACGACCCGCATCTAAATTTCGCCGGCTTGAGTCAAGATTTTGTTGAATTCCGGAACACCCGACCTCGGTTCGGAACCAGATTTTGTGTTTATTCGTTGATTACAGTGGATTTAAAAGCATGTGCAGGTAAGTTGAATGCACGTTATATTACTAGCTATATTCTTTTTATTTATAATTAACTGCTGCTTTAATACATTTGAATATTAGTGCCCGCTTATCGGTAATTGCTCCACGCTTAAAAATTTTTTTTCAAAAAAATTATCTAGCCTTTTTTAAAAGTCCGTTGTATTTAATTTATGGTCACTGAAATAAAAAAGGAATGCACAATTAAATCAAAAAGATGTTTAAAAGGATGATACAATTTAATTTGGTTTAGTAAATTATGTTAGTTAATAACATCGGCCGATTAAACTATCCATATTTTGTCGATATTTCAAGCCGACTGTCCGCCATGTTTTTTTTTACTTTCTCGTAGTGTTGGGTTCAACTATTATATTACAGCAGCGGTTAACAGCATACTTTCAATATATTGTAGCATTGCTTTTTTTTGTCTTTCCTAGTTTATTAGTTAACTATTCTATATATGTGCAGTAGTTACATTAAATTTTAGAATATTACGATCTTTTACATTTTTAATCTCTAGATTTATTGTACAGACGACTTAAAATAAAATGTAGCCCCCCTTCCATAATAGTTTAGTCCAAAGTTGTTTCTAGATTTAGTCTAGATTCTAGATCTACTTAGATTAGTTAGATTCACCATTGCTTTCATGTTAATATTTAGTAGTAGAACTATCTATAGTACTTACATTTATATCTAAAAAGCATTGAGCAGCCTTACCTTTATTATTATTATTCTATTTACAGAGCAAGATATTAGCATAAACGAAAGTGGAAACTGAAAGGCCTGCCAAAAAATATGTATTGTTTGTGTAAGCATCAACAGGACTCCTGAATACTTTTGAAGGAAACCATTTGTCAAATGTTAGTATTGTATGCACTTTGCTTAATATTTATAATGATGTAATGTTACATGATTGATATCTAAGTTGGTATAAAGATATACAGTCCTGCTATATAAGTCAGTATATTTGAAATGCTAATTAATTGTTTTTATTCACAGACATTTTCTCTACTCTGGACCAATGGAAGGATCCCTTACTAGATTCCATAATTTGATGTGTGCTGGCAGTTCACAATCATTTATTACAATGCTACTTCAAACCTTGAAGAAGACAAGACAAACTCAACCAGGATATTGACTATTAATTATTACAATGCTACCCAACATCATAGAGAACTTTCCCAATCAGGATATTGACCTGTCTTTTTGAACCTGCTCTAAGATTTCTGATAATTGTATAAGTTAGGACCTAGACATTTCCAGAAGTTGACTTTGATCAATAACTAACTAAAAGAAATAAATATACTAGTAACAAGTAAATTCATGCTAAGCAAGTCATGATTAGGAACCAGAGTAACAAAACTAGATGAACATCACAAGTCTATTAGTTATCTTACTTCGTCAGTTTTTAAAATGCATGAAATTTCTTATTATTATAGTATATAAGTAAAGTAATAGTATAGTTATTTAGTTTTTTTTATAACAAATTAATGCTAACATGTATCCTACACAATTAATATTACTTTCTTAAAAGTAAGAACACTTTTTGAAGGATGTTAGGTAATGAAAATTCTTGATTTTGGGCGTTAAGGAAGGATGCCTTGTATTGTTTTGCAGAATGATTATGTTATGTTTCTGTGTTTATTATATATTAAGAACATCATATGCTTTAAGTTGGTGTAAAATTTATTGAGATACCTTACTTAAATATTTTTAAATCATTTTTTGAAAAAGGATAAAATTTCAAATTTTTATAAACTGACATTGCTTAATCTGGTCTCGCTAATTACTTTCTTTACTAATTCTTTACCTGCTTGTTTCATATTAACATGCTTTGAATTTCCTTTCTTAGAACATTTATATTATTAATGTGGCTTAATTAGTTGATTTTCTATGATTTTTTAAAAATGACTGTAAATTAACTTTTTGTCTCCCTTTTCGTACTTCGGTAAAATTGTGCTTTGGCTCATTTTTATGTGAATAAATTTTCTATTTATATCGGTCTGACTACCTTGAAAAAAATTGGGTTTGCTATTTGTATTACTGGCTGTGTGTGCAAGAAATTTGAGAGTTCTAACTTAGTTATTGTAGAAGTTAGTAGGGGTCTCAAATAGACCCTTTACTGCTCAAAAAGCGAACGCATTTTTTGAGTTTTAAAAAATTCATAACTTTTTTAAAAATGGACATACACCAATAAATTTGGTGTTTCTGTTCTGATGAAAACAGTCTCTATCAGGTGGAAGTGTTAAATTTTATTTAATTTCATTATAAAAATTTCATTTTGAATACCTACTTAATACTTTTTATATTAATTTAGGTCAGCTACCGTGGGGTGAGGGATATTGAAGCAACACTTTTCAATACAAGCAGAGTAGGGTCAGAGATCTACAACCTTCAGCCTAACTCAAGCTATTTAGTAGGTTTGTTGTCAAATTATTTTGATATCATAACATAATTAATACTAAAATAATACTGTCAATGTATTTTGGTTTTACTTATCTGCTGAGGGTTGCCATTCTTAACATTGCTTTTATTTAACATGTTATACCTATTTTTTTGAGTATTTAGATACTTATAAGTTATTGCTAACCCATTTCATGTTGCTGCAACTTAAAGCATAAAGGAATCCAATTCAATATGTGTGATTAAAAAACCTCTTAAATTTTCATGGCAATCAGATAAATAGTGGCGTAATGTATAAAATATTAACAAACATACTTTGATTTATTTGTATTTGTTTATTTATTTGTGCTATATATTTCCTTAGTGATTGAAATTCTTTCTTGCCTCTGAGCTAAAAAAAATATCAGAAAAAGTTTCTCTTATTAAGACTGGCATACAGTTAGTGTAGATTCTTTACAATTTAAAGTAAAGCATTTTTTAAATTTACAATATATTTTTACAAATGTAATTTTTTTTGTAGAAATGAATAGAAAATATGTTATGCTTGCCTTTATATCTTACAAAAGTCTCTATAAGGCTCTAGTTGAACTGCTGTGTTTATTATCTCAACACTTTCAGGAGTTACTGCTGGCACTCCAGATGGTTTGGGTGAAGTTGGACCTCTTGTGGAAATAACCACATTATCTAATCATGGGCTACAACCAATCAATTTATCAGCAATTAGAATTAACTCTTCTGTAAGTAAAACAAGTCTATGGTTTCATTTTATGAAAGCTGAGAACACAAATATCACATCAAACATTACTTTAATTCAGGGGTCTCCAAACTTTTCAGCCCGAGGGCCCCATTAGCTATCAAATATTAGTTCGGGGGCCAGAGTTTTTCTACCCCCCCCCCCCAATGGAATATATATATATATATATATACATATATATATATATATATATATATATATATATATATATATATATATATATATATACATATATATATATATATATATATATATATATATATATATATATATATATATATATATATATATATATATATATATATATATATATATACAAATCAAGTGCCCCCATCCGAGAAAAAAGTCTGAAAAGAACACTGTAGGGGATCGAGAACACATTCGATGTCCAAGTTTGTTGTCAAATTGCTCTTCACGTAGGCCTACTTCGTTCTTGATAAAGTTTGTATGTTGTTCAAAAATTTGAAAAGTACTTTGATGCCAAAGTTAATATTAGGAAAGTTTTCCTTGGACAAATACTGATGAAAACCCACCCGCCCTTCTTTGAACTTGTCTTTAAGGAGGTCATTTGCTGGGCAACTGGCCACATTTGCTTCAATGGCATTTGCACACAATGCGACATTTTCAGTTTCTTTAGAATTTTTTTTCTCAGCCACCTCCAACAAACTTTTTTCCGTCGACAAAAAGATCTCCGAGGGCCGGATGAGAAAACCTCGCTGGCCTGATGCTGCCCGCGGTCCGTAGTTTGGAGACCCCTGCTTTAATTCATAAGACTGGGATTTTATCTAAAATATGTAATACCAGACACAAAATGTTTCTATAATCTCATGCTATCTAATAAAAAGCTTAACATTAAATTTTTTCTTGATTTTTAATAATCAGATGATACAATTAACCTGGGAGACCAATGTAGCTCCAATGTACATACAAGGGTTTAATATTTACTACAGAAATGAAGATAGCTCTGCTGAGAAGAAACTTTTTACCAAGGAAAATCGAAGGAACAGATTTAATTTGAGTAAGATGCTTTAATATATAATCTTCCGATATATATCATATAAAAAATTATACACACATTCATAGTTCTAGTTTATATATATATATATATATATATATATATATATATATATATATATATATATATATATATATATATATATATATATATATATATATTTAAAACACTGCATGTCTATGTAGATTTGGACCAGAAAAAAATGTACATTGTGCGAGTCTCCACTCTGATGACTTGGGACTTTGAGGCCAATTCTAGTTGGATTATTATACACTCCAGCTACAATGGTAAAAATAAAATTATATAAAGCAGTTAATAAATGTTTCTTTTGAGCTTTGTCATGTTGGTATCTTAACCATAAATTAATACTTCAGATTTTTTTAAATTTTTGTTCTATTATTTGAATTGTATAAATTTAACACAAATAAGGTTAGGCTACAGTACTTTTTGGGTAAAATTTTAAATATTTACAGATTTTCCAAAAGCCAATTTTATAACATCAGTCCCTGAAATGGAGAAGCTAAAAGTTTCAGCTGATTTATCAGAAACAGGAAAAACTGTAATTAGTGTTTTTTTTTTAATTTTATTATAATTATTTTCCAAATATAAGAAAGTACCAAATAACTTGATTCTTATTTGTTTTGAACATATAATAACATTATATGTCAATAAAAAACATTTTTTTAAATAAAAACATTGTTATAATAATCTTTGTGTAATGCAGGAGAACAGAAATCTACCCAATACATTGACACATTCTAGACCAAACATAAAAGGTGAAACTCTCTCCTACTTAAGTAAGACCATTCTTTTAAACTATAAATACAAATAAGTAAACATTGTTATATTTTAATTGCATGAATCATCTTTCTGTGTTGAAACCAGTCATACTTAATGAACAAACAAATGTACGCATTTTATACTTTAGTATCTAATAAAGACAGCTGCTTTAAGATGCTTATGTTTTATTGTCAGATAATGCCCCAAGTGTTGTCAAAAATGTCCGAGCCACTCCCATCTCACCCACTGAAATCCATGTTAGGTGGGAAGCTCCAGACACTGGTCATGTGACCAAATACAACATAAAGTACTGGCGCCCTGGCTGGAAGGAAAAATTTACTGAGTGGATTCCCAAGCATCGGTTGAATTTTTTGGCAAAGGACTTGATCAAAAATAGCAACTATAGGTTTGTAATAAGCAATTTGTAAGAATTCAAATTGTTAAATAATGGCTATTAATAAAAAGAAGTAAACTTTAAATTGTTTCTGTGGTGTATGAAAAGACAGTGTAGGCCTATTATACCTAGCTGCTTCTACTTTCACTGACTTACATTGAAACTAGACAGAACTTGATGTCATAAGTCAAATAATAATAGGCTAACACCAATATTCAGCTATTTAAGGTCTGTCTTCTTATCCATTAATATAACAAAAATGAACACTTGAATATGTATTCATACAAAACTTTGAAGATTTGCTGTGAGACAGATTTTGGGTTCAACTCCCAACATGTTATGTAAAGATTAGAGTGCCAAACCTGGGTCTTCTGAAGTATGGAGCCTGCAATAGTGCACTCACATTATAGGCTAGCTGTTTCACTGTGTTATGTTTGCAGGTTACTTTGATGTTGGTCTTAATCCCACCCAAAATTGATATTAAAATAATTAACAGTCAACTGAGTGACTTAAACTTGCACCTGAATTTAAACTTCAACATTTAACTTTTACCATTTCAACCTGTAGATTTGAGATTCTGCCATATGCTGGGGATGTTCATGGTGAGGCTTTTGTCATTTTTGCAAAAACATTTGGTGATAAACCTGAAGGACCACCCAAGAATGTTCAGATTAAATCATTGAACTCTTCTGTAAGTAAGACAGAGAAGAATATTGCAGTTGCATTTTTTTCTTCAGAAAACCAAACAAAAATAAAACTGTATTTGGATCTGTTTATTTTACAAACCTTGACTAATAATTTTGTCATCAGGCCTTACTGGCATCCTGGCACCATCCAGACCCAGACCAAACAAATGGCCTAGTGATTGGCTACAAGCTGGTGTTGAGAGAAAAGGAGGGGAACAAAGTTGCAGGCTACAGAGTGCCAAGACTGAGAACCAACTACACATTTTTAAGTAACTCACATCTCTATAATTTGGCTTCATACGTAATATTTTTTATTCTTTTAGAGTAAGTAATTTAAACAGGTGAATAAAAAACACATTTTTAAATTAGAAAAAAAACATAGCTAACTAAATTGTAAAACCATCGTCTCATACTAAACCAGCAAGTAATTTATCACCAACTATATGTTATGCAATGCAAGTTTGTATCCAAGGGTTTATTTACAGATATACCAACTACAAAGATCTACAGCTTTAGAATGGCAGCCATGACAGTGAATGGAACAGGAGTGTTTTCTCCTTGGATTGATTCAGTTCCACACAATGGTATATGTCAATAGATTTTACTTGACAGTATACATAACTCTATACAATAGGAGATATCAATCTAATTTGTATTAGTATTTATAGTAGGCACTGTTATAAGAACAGAAAAGATGTATTTTGTACTTGTAAAAAAAAAATCTTTTTAGATTGCTATTCATTTTAAAACTTTTAAAATTTGATTAGTATATTTTAGGCTGTTCCTTTTAAACCCCTTCTATGTTTATTGGGAAGGTTTAAAAATACAGGTTGAGACTTCACTTTTTTTGGCACCAGCAAATCATCAGCTAAAATGTAAATATTTGCTTACAGAACCCACTAAACCCAGCCCACCTGAACATCTGCTTGTTGTACCCAGTGAAAACTCTCTTAGAATCCAATGGAAGAGGCCATCTCACAAAGGTTAGTCTAGATAACGTTCAGTAGTGAAAACATTACAGGCTAGAGTGACAAGAGGGAAAATTATATCTATAGCTAAAAACTGATGTACTTAAAAACTAAATAATGACAAAATCAATATTTCATTACTTCAGTCACAAGTAAATCCTTCAAATTACTATTCTGTTTATAAGTTTACTGAAACCACAGTAATTGAAAACTACCATGTTCCCTTTTTAGAAAGTCAATGTTTTATCTTTCTCCTGATGTCCATTGAAAAAGTCTAAATCAAAATACACTTGACTGCATGCCTTGTCTCCCTTATAAAAAAATGACATCCTAGCATTGCATAGACAATTGTGTTTCTATGTGGCCTAATCAACCAGAATCAACTGTAGGCTTATGTAAATAATTTAGTTGAATGCATTTTTAAATATATTTTAAATATTTGCCTTTAACAAGTAATTCTTCAATAATTATTATATCTATGTAAATATTCATTAATTAAGATATTTATTATCAGATAATACAATACTTCCTTAGGCTCTGCTTTACAGGGCTATATAGTTGGCTATGGCCAGTTTATTCCTGAAGTCTACAGACAAGTAGTTAGTGCATCTCAAACATCCTTCACACTTACAGGTTTAAGTAAGTCCACTTTTTAAAAAGTCTTAAGTATATGTGCAGCTTAGCTTACTACAGTCTGAATCATATTATATACTTAATTAAATATGAAAAAAATGTCAGATCACAGATCAAAATTTCATTTGATTCATATTGTAATATTCATAGTTATAACTTATTTTCATCTAATTCACACAAAAAGATTTAATAATGTATATGTAGTTTAATGGTTGATGCAATCAAATTAAACAAAGCAGGTTTATAATAGGCCTACTAAATAATATCAGATGATAAAAGTAAAAATAGCAAAATGTTGAATGCCAGTCTTTCCTTATGTAAATAAAATGTTCACTTTCTAATATGTGAAAAATTCTACTAAACTTTTGAAATTATTCTTATTGTTTTTTTCTTGCAGAGGCTGATTCTGAATATATAGTCAGTGTGAGGTCCTTCAATACCTATGGGGAAAGCTTGCCTACATTTAATATTTCTAGGACACAAAAATGTAATATAATAACTTAAAAAAGACTTAGTTTATATAATAGTGTTTTATGAATAATTTATTCATGACAAGCTGTTTTGAGCTAGAAAAAATTTAAAGTTGTTATGAATATTAATAAAAATAATTTTAATTTACAGTACCATTTCAAGAGCCACCATTACTAACACCTGTAAAAATAAAAGTTGAATCCATGAGCCCAAAGTCACTAAAGCTATCATGGGTTGATCCATCTCTATCACACAACACCAAAATACAAGATGGAAGATCATATATGGTAAGTTAATAATTAACCCTTTATTTACGGAATTATGTTCTGAATGAGATTTTTACTTAAACAATGTGTTACTATATTGCTTTTGGCACATTCAAAGCATATATCGAAGGAAATTTCGTTTCATAAATTTTTAATGGCCAAAACAGATATTGGTACTTATAAGTACCGTCAGTAAACTAGGACATTTTTTTTCAAAAAAATTTTTTTTACAAAACAGGAACAAACGATACAATTTATTAACTAATAACATGGCAATCATTTTAACAATCACTTTTTGTAATTTTCACACATAAATACAGCACAAAAGTATATTTTGAGTACGATTTTTACTGGATTTTCTATCGGAACACATCTTAGACCTCAAACACAGCAAAAGTTGCCGACATGTCATGCTCCCACATAGTTGTCTGTGGTCTTTCTGGTGTAGCAACGGTTGCCAAACTGAACATGCTTTTGCTGGAAGCTTCCAATAACTAGTACAATGAGCCGCATAAACAAACAAAAGCCTAGTCATTCAGCACACAACTACTAGAAATACTAATATAATTGTAGCCTACTATAATGTTATGACAAGTCTACACTACAGTGCAAAGTTCATAAATAGAAGTGAGCTCAATGTGTTTTGGAAGAAGTAGTGGATTACTCTTTTCTGTTTACTGATTAAAATTTATCTTATAGATCTATACTATATGCAGAAGTATGGACTATTACTAGTCTACAGGTTTACATTATGTAAATGCCAGTTGTTGTAGGCAAGACAGTTTATTGCAGTAAATATAACTAACAAATTAAATCTTACAACCTGAACTAGGCTTTGGTATACAAATGAAGTATACTAAACCTTATAAACGAGCCTGCAACTGATACCTTTATTCTTGTTATTTTTTTACTACTAGAAATGAACATGTAATTACAACATTTCTTAGGTAAACCATATGCAAACCTTCTTATAAATGTGTAAATATCATTTTTTGAGTACATTTCGTTAAGTAATTATCAAGACAATATTTATGTAACTCCACTTAACAAATCTGCAATTTTCTAAAAATCCTAAAAAAAAATGACCGTGTGCCCTGACGGTACTTATAAGTCTACTTGTAAACATCGATCTAATACAAAGACAATTTGAGTAAAATTGTATAACTAGAAGTTAAACACGTTTGCCTGACTATTGAAAGTGCCAATAAAAAATATTTGGGGTTGAAAACTTGAAAAATAAGGTAAAACAAAAGGAAATCAGGAACGGGTGTGAGAAATGTACAGAAAAATTGTGAACTACCGATATAGCAAGACATTGAAAAAGCGCCACACCATTAATTTTTAAAAAACATTGATACCTCCGACTACCGGCGACTCAGGGGAGATAATACTATAAAATACATCAATAATTTTTAAAATTCGTATTTAATTTAATATAATACAGGCATTTAATTAAAGTGGTACTTATAAGTACCGTCAGTAGATAAAGGGTTAATAAAGTGATTATTTTAAAATATGATACTTAAATTATGTTTTGCAAGTGTGCTAAAATAATATGCTTTAATTTAAAGTAATAATTTTCATTATATATATATAATCAACACTTACATTTAAATATTGGGAGATGAAAATTTGTTAAGAAGGCCTACAAATTTAAATATGCTAATAGTTCTAAACCTTACAGATTAGATATTCCTCAATATCTGGAGAAGCATATAGTTATGTCAACACAAGTGCCCAGTCTTTGGTGCTATCAGATCTTGAGCCTGGGAGCTCTTATGAAGTATCAATCAAAACCACTAGAGGAAGCAATTCTAGTCAGTGGAGTTTAGCTGTTGTCAACTCAACACAGGAATTAGGCAAGCCTATTCTCAGTATTCTGTTTATCAATCAGCTTAATTAAATTTTGGTTTAAACGAATTAAGATTTGTTATTTTAAAATGTATAATATTTTTTAAAAATTCAAAATGAATTCCCCAGCTCCATCAACAGCACCAGAAAATATCCAAATGTATCCCCAGCCTGGAAACATGAATCAAATTTATTTATCCTGGTCAGAACCTATGAAACCTAATGGCGTAATTGAAAGTATGTTACATGCTATTAATTGATCAGTAAACCAACAGTAATTTTAAAACTTAAAGCATTCTCTTAAATTGTGTTAAATATTAAAGGAATATTCTGAACTTATTTTGACTATAATTTCACTTTTGTTTTGCAGATTATTTTATTTATATGTCAAAAACACAAACTCATGATATGAAACTTTGGAAAGTTATGGTTACAAATTTACGTAGTGTTAAAATAAAAAACATTGAGCCATATACAATCTACTACTTCAAACTTCAAGCAAAGAACAAGGCAGGTTATGGGCCATTAAGTGATCTGAACATATTTTACCCTCCAACAGGTACGCCTATTTTATTTTTGCATAAAAAATGTAATGATAAATATACTCAAATCATAATTTTCATTTTGTCGATACTATAGTAAGGTGGGTGGCTTAACAACACAAACGAAATTAATATCAATTTTATTTGAATTCACTAAAATAGTTTTATCATGAAATATCATGTTGATTTTTTTTATAATAGTTGTATAAAACCAGAACAATACTTGAACCAAAACTAACATTTATACTTACCATAAACTAACTCTTATGGTTATAAGTGTGTAGGTTAATCAAGAAAATGCAAAAATGTTCAACATGTTGACAATTTTATTTTATTTGCTTTTCTACATTGAAATTAGGATTAATTTCCATCCTTATTAATGATAATTAATACTAATAAGAATTGATATTAAATTATTTTCCCATTAAATTAGATAAAAGGCCTCCTCCTTCTATAACATCAATCAATGAGAACTACAGTAACACCTCAACAACAGTCAAAATAACTTGGATTTATCCAGAAGCTTCAAAGCCCAGTGTTATTGGTAAGTTACTTTAAAATTTTTAACTATTGTCTATGTTTAACTGTATCTAAAGAGTTTTATCATCCTGGAGTTTAACTGTATCTAAAGAGTTTTTATCATCCTGGAGTTTAACTGTATCTAAAGAGTTTTATCATCCTGGAGTTTAAAGATATGGAAGTTCAACCTGTAGTTTTACAATAATCGTTGTGATGATTTTCTTATTTTCAATAGTGTTAAATTTTACATTAACCATGTCTATACCATTGGCCATTAGGACTGCAAGACTGCTCTGTTTAATTATTTGTATCAATAGGTTTTTTAGTGTACTACACTGATGATCTTAACAAAAAAGATTCTGATTGGCAAGTCCGCAATGAAAGTGGATATGATCATTTAATAACTGACCTTTATTACAATACAACCTATCATTTCAAGGTAACACCCATAACATGTTTGAAATTAAGATAAAATTACATTTAGGTTACTAATTAATTTGTATTAAAAAATTACAAACAACATTATGCCACAAACAAAAATGGCATGGAAGATTGGTACAAGATTTTGAACCACAAATGAAGTGTTATAAAACTAATTCCATTTTTGTTAAATGCATATCATGAAAGCAGAATAATTATTTAAATATATTTTGTAAAAACTACTTTTAGGTCAGAGCAAAGTATAATAATGGAATTGGCCAGTTTGGTAATGTTGTTTCCTACACAACACCACCTTATGGTGAGTTCAATTTTTCAAATTGTCAGATTTTTGACAAACTAAATACTAAAAACATATATTATTTTTTACCTCAATCAAGTTAAATACCACTTAGCCCCTACTTATTTTGCCACTATAATTGTGCAAAAAATTAACAAGTAGTATCAAATTATTGTAAGACCCATTTCAACCAGTCGGTCCAAAGGGAGATAAAGTGGAGTTCAATGTTTTTCTGACAATTTTATGAAAATTTTAAACATTAGGCCTATAGTCTTTTACTTATATAGTGAGTAACATTTCTGATTCCTGTATTATTTTATTTATCTAATGAGTTGCGTGTACTTTAATTGCTACATTTTTTTAACAGCCAAATTGGTAAAACAAGAAGCTGCTCCAAGAAAAAATTCAAAAAAAGGCAAGAACCTTGAAAACACTTTGAACTACCCAGAAAGAAATAATCAAGTTACCACAGCTA